ACCATCCACCCAAAGGCTAAACCTTTAAGCTACCATATGATTTATGACACACATGACCCGCAGCGTACCGACGGATTTCCCTCATTCCATGATTCCAGAACCGAAAGCACGCGTTTCTGGCACTTCGGCGGCCCGTACGATCTACGGCACCTGTACTCCGTACGGACTACGGACTCATCAACTATTTGCTGGTTTAATGTTCACGCTTGAGATCACCATTTGATCTGGCTCATGCGACCCCTCTTTTTATCCCCGTTCACTTGCAATTGCGTCCGGTCCTGAGGAACTATCATCGCCATCACGATACACCATCACTCCTCTCCTCGATGATCATTCCCCAACTGGTGTCCTTGCACCCATGTATTTCTCCGCGGGGGGGTTGGAAGTTGAAACCAATAAAATTCATTAGTCTGACCCGCGCCTCACCCTCAATATTAATATTGTTGCGTGGTAGACAAGCACGGACTACCGGCCAAGGAATAGGTCTCGGTGGGCTCGCTTTGCCTCTAGCTCGACCGTCTAACTGACTTCATTAGGGTAAAACCCACCCGAGCGTTCGAGAGTCGACACTTCCAGCTCGAGGATCCTCTGGAGAAATCCAAGAGTGAAACGCCACCGAATCGGTGCTCGACTGGCACCTTAGTCGGTCCGACGTTACATGGCCATTCAAAAGCTCAACGCAGATATTAGGCTGTTTCTAGTTCTACAGCTAGAATTACGTTTTCCGATCGGTACTAGCGACACGCAGATTTGATAGATCGGTTTGAATCATCGCTAAGTGATTCTCCCCCCAATCCTTTTGCTCTCTCCCTTGTTTGGTCCCCCTTTTATCCTCGTTGGGTGCCTCAGGGTGCATTTTCTTTTTCGGGAATTCCTCCAAATTTCGGCCTCCCAGCCAGCCATCCACGTCCCTCGCCCACGTAATTCTCACTAAACACGCAGAGTAGGGAGGGGTGGAAGAAGAGAAAGAAAATTTGTGTCATCAAAACTGATATCTTTCAAGAGAGAAAAAAAAAATAGAGAAAATAACAGAACCGTGGAATTCTTCCAACGTCTGGTGCAGATGGATTCCAAGGCGGAGCATACTTCGACTCTTCTTCGTCAGGATGCCCAAAATCGACTATCCGGGAATACCGATTTGCGTGAAGATAACTCATTCTAGTTGGGCGCAGACTGTGTTAAATCAGGTTGTCCCCAAGGCTTTCCCTCTCTATTTTGGTTGCCCCAAGCTGTTCGATCGCCCTGGTTTCTCGGGAACAGCTTCCTTACGCTGCTCGCATCCAAAGCTTTGACCTAGCAGTGGTGCCTATACCACCAGCACATTAGGAACCAACGCGAGTTTGCTTTTGTGGCTTTTGTGACTGTGAGATTCTACCCCGGATGCTCACACCAGACATAAAAGGACTCCGCGCCATAGTGGCATTGCCCAGTAAACTTTGTTCGAATTGATGCCCAATCATGACGTAGCTGAAACACGCCTCCGGACGAAATTTGGCCCGATCTTGCTGAGCAACAAAGCCCAAAGAGACAGATAGAGAATGCTTCGTGGACCACTAAGGTCCAGGTGAGTTGAGGAAAACCCAAGTTCTGGAAATGATCTGTCTGCTCTCTGCCTCGCGTGAGATAATAATCATAACTATAAACGACCCGGTGGTCAAAATTTGGGTAAGTTGGTTCGAGCCTTCCTTGGTCGGAAGGTGTGGTCGATTGGCCATAACGTCGTCACGTCTAGTTACCTACTGGGATGTATTAATGGCGCAAAGCGAGCGACGCAACGCCGGGTGGAAAGGAAATGCAAGGTAAGAGGCAATAGGGAGGACGAGAACGAATACTGGTGGTGATCCGTAGTGAGATACTTCCAGACCACCTAAGCACACCTTCCCGTGGTTGCAGCAAAGCAATTCTCGTCCGTCATCTAATTCTCGGGGAAAGGAAAGTGAAGCACGCCCTCAGCATGCATGCAAAAGCATGGTGATTGAGCCTTTCGTCATATACCCTGACTGGCCGGAGAAGGGGCTTTACCCCATTTGGCGATCTAAGCTAGACGGACGCCTCGTTTTAGTTCCTGAGAAGGAATTGGCGAGGGAGGTCTTCATTTTTATCTATTTTATTTTACTCTATTTTCTCTCTTTCAGCCAGGCGGACTCGGTGCCTTTTGGACAGACACTGCTACTAGATAGACACGCAGGTAGCCTACAGCCGTGGTAAGGTTAATTAGTGTTCCTAGGCAGCCGGATGGGACGAGCCGTTCATTTCCAGCCCGTGCAGCTAGAAGGACACTATGTATCTAGGAACTTTCGAAAGTCGCCACGGATCAGCAAGAAGGATGCACGTAAGTCACCGATGGCACCTGGTTTGGCCGGACTGGTATCACTAATTGCGGTCTAATGCACAGAGCAATCAATCAACAAGCATGCGAAATTGACTGTTCATTTTATGAATGGGAGATCATTCCTTTTTCTGATAGCCAACCAGAGAGAGAGAGAGAGACTGGGTATCGAGGGAGGGGGTCTCTCATTCTGGCTGTTAGTTGGATTACCATCCTAAACGAGTGGAAAGGTAGGTGGAAATCCTTCTCGTGGGAGGTAGGATTCTGACCCGTGCTTTTTCTTTTCAATTGATAACATGAAGTGGTCTGATCCAAGGCGGTGTTGAAACGAGCATCCAACTGTTTTATCATCTATCGAGGCGGTAAGGGAGAACGAGAGCTCAGCATAGAGCCGACTAGTATAGAGACAACCCAAGACCCCGACACCTTACCAGAGGAAGTATGGACTCGAAGGTCTGTATTATATCGTTGTAACCGAAAGGCCGGATGACTCAGTTGACTGGACGATACAGAGAATCGGGCCTCCACCGATCCTGCCCACCCACTCACTGCCCACTACCCAGTGCCCACATCCATGGGCGTGGGCGTGGGCATGGGCATGGCGTCGGCGTGGTCGAAAGTGATCCGGCTCACTTGCATCTTTCCCCAGCCTCGATTCCACATTTTACATTTTAGTGAGGACGCTAGCTCGTCATGAGTGGGCTTTGTCTTTGATGTATCCGTATTTTTTTCTTTTTCTTTTTCTTTTTTTGTTTTTAAATTACTTTATTTCACGTCGTGGCGGACAGAGCGGGATTGACGGTGATGTTAGGTAAGTCATCGACTGGGAATCTCTCTCTGGCTTCCTAGGTCCTCTGGGTAAATTAACTCATTAATTAATTCCCACCGTCGAGCCAGGAAATCAGTATGGCGTGTTATAGCTTCGCACCCTTCCATCTGAGGAAAGGAAATCATCCTTCTCCTACTCCGTCGGCACTTGGGTCGGCGGTAGCATGCCGCCAGGCGGGTGTTTTCCCAGGATTCTACCTAGAGTCCTTCCTTCTAGCTTGCAGGTTACTGGCTAACATGAGGCCAACCAATGACGGTACCGATAAGGGCCCAGCCAGGTGAGGTTCCGATTTCCCCGGGGCCCATATGGCGTTTGCGGTTCCCCTTTGGCGACTATAGTGGTACCTTCGGGCGAGTCTATGCATCCATCTGTCGGGTGTACCTAAGAGAAGTAGGTGTATGTACATACAGATGTACCAGATACCTTCCTACAGGTAGGAGCATCATCCATCAGTCAGTACGGGGTACCGTACCATACCGAGGCTGCCGGTAAGGTATGTACATACCACCTTACATGACGGGAGACGACATTACGGAATGGGGTAACGGTACGGGGGTACCTTCCGGGTAGCAGTACCTCTGAGGTGATGAGGTGGATGGATGCAGCTAAGATCCTGGTACTTTGCCGGTACGCCATGGACTGGGCTGCCTGGACAATTAAGTCTATCGCGCTCTCTCTCGCTGGATCCGCTTTTCTTAGTTGTCCCATCCCATACCTGTGGTTCATCACGGGTCCCACCCGCTTTGGAATCCAAATCTTTTTTTCCCTTGGTTTTCTTTCTTATTTTCCTTAATTTTTGTTTATATTTTGTATTTTTTGGGTTCCCCTCTCCATATTGCACACCGCTGAATTGAAGGCCTGCTTTAGGTCAACGGCGATCTGCTGGGAAGCCAATCCGTCACGGCGAACTTATGTAGGATTGCATTGGAAAATCGGGAACCGACTGGTAATTATCAGATTTATTAGGTATTTACTCGTTGCATTTGATTTATTATCATTTTTCATTTTGTGAAAATTAAACAAATCATTTGCCTCTGGCTTTTCTGATTTGCATTTCAGTTTTTGGGCTAATCGGATGTTTTTTTTTCTCTATTTTTTTGGACCTTATTTCCCTTAATATTTTTCTGGTATTTTATATTTCTTTGATATTTCCTTTTTTTTTTTTTCTCTCTCTTAAATGATTATGATCAAGGAAATTTATAATAATCCAGGAATCACCAACTTCAACATCTCCGTTGTCCTTTATTAATTTTCCTGTCCTTCCCGACTTCTTCTTTCTTCCTTCTCTCTTCTCTCTTCTCTCTTCCTCTCTCACACCCTCTTAAGTGCAATCCTTCTCCAATAAAACACCCTTTCCTGTCCCTCCAGATTTGATCCTTCCTGTATTTCCTTTCTCTCGCCTGGATTGATTCCTGCCTTTGGTATATATAATTTTGGCCTACCATTCTGTAGTAAATATTCTACTACAACATTACTCTCCTACCACGGAACCAGACGGAGACAGGATTTTGCATGAATTAAAATCCAAGTTATACCTTCTTATTTACCTCCCATTGATCTGGATTGCACCTTATTTTTCTTCCTTCCTTTCCCCCGGTTTATTCCCCCCCCCCTCTTTCCACCGTGGCTGCTCTAGGGATCAGTGTGTTGACTAGCCCTCCATACCCCAACCCGGTGCATTCCTCTCACCAATATCATTCGCTGTCTGGCTACCATCTTTCCCAACCGACCGGCTCCCTCTCTCACGCCCCGCGTCAAGAGTCTCAGACTCAGCTGGAGAGAGGGGGCCCCGCGCCATGCCCCCAGTCCCTGCGTCAGTCCATCGAACGAGACTCGGAGCATATGTCGCAGATTTCCTCGGTTTCTGGCCCTGCAGCGGACGATGCTCTTCTTCGATCAGACTCCCACGCCATTCTCGACAAGAAACGACCTCGCGTAGAGGACGAGTCGACTGTGGACGGTCGTGACCCCGTGCGTCCTCGGCCTCTTTCGTGGAATCCATCGGCTCCGGTGGAACCCCCGCTGAAATCGACGCAGCTTCGTCCCATCGGCGTTCAGTCCATCTTGAACCCCCCTGCTAAACCGGGCTCGATAACTGCCGCAGGCCCTGCTGAGGCTTCTCGAGAGGCACTGGGGGAACAGGCGTCCGTCCGTGCGTCCCACCAGCGACTTCCCTCATCTCCCTCTGTCCATCTCCCTTCGCCATCACTTCATGCTCGACGGCTGTCTGCCTCTCCTGGAATGAGAAATCGTCAAATGAGTACACCTCTTTCGCCGTCGGCCCGGTTTGTCAACGCGGGGGCTGGCCTTCCCGGAAAACTCAGTGCTTCTCAGTCTCCCTTGGCCCATGAATCACGACCGGGGTTGTACTCGGCAACGCCTACTTCCCCTATGCCTCTTGAGTCGGTTCCCGGACAGGCTCACTCAGTACCAGTACATCAGCAGCCGGTGTCCATATCAATGCATTCCACCCCGACCTTTCACAGCCGGCGAACGAGTGCGGCTCCAACGCCAAATCTGAGTCCCCAGGAGACAAGCCCTACCACGCCTATTTCCTCCTTCAGTCAATTCGGCCGGTCATCTCCGTCGTTGAATGGTATGTCGGGACCGCCCCCTGCTCCACCGTTCATCGCTTCGTCTTCTCTGTCGGCCAAGGACCCGGTGCCTCGTCTTCCATCCGTCGTATCTGGAACCAGGCATGTCGGGGATGATGCGGTAACAGCAGCCGCAGCAACAAACACCACAACAGCAACATCAGGCCAGACAGAAAACGTTCCTCTACCTGGGATGATCCCATGCATCTTGGATCTCAAGTCGGGCTCATCCAGTCAGGCAGAGAAGCGGAAAGCCAACAGCGATGCGTCAAGGAGGTTCCGCAATCGGAAAAGAAACGAGATGCAGATGGAGCAAAAGATCACCGCCCAACAAGAGGAGATTCGCAAACAGGCCGAGACTCTACAGCGACAGAACCAGGAGATTCGGACCCTGATGCAGGAGCGAGACCACTATCGATCGGAAAGGGATTTCTATCGTGAACAGGCCAGCCGACTGGGGCCTGCCGGCCAGGGTTCTTCCCGGCCAGCCTCGCCTCGGGCTTTCCGATCGTCGGTCGAGAACACGCCCTCAGAGCGTGATCACTACATTATGAGGAGAGTAGGAGATGCCCCGACAGGACCGCTGCCATCCTCCTCGAACACCCCCCCCCTCGCGTCTGCGAGAATGCCCGGAGGCTGGACCTCTGCGTCGTCGCAGTATCCCTCGTCGGCTATCAGCCACGCCGAACGTGGAGTTCTCGCAGACGAGCACCAGGCCAAGTCGTTATCTCAATATCCGGGTACTTGGGCTCGTTCTTGAATAGGAGCGTGAGAATGCCATGGGGGACTCTGTCTCGCCATCTCGACTTTATCGGATGCGAATCTTTTGACCCTTGAAGGGTGACGAAGCATTTTCCTCAGACTGAAGCTCTGATTCTGATCTATTTCATTTCCTTGGATATTATTTTTCTTCCTTATATACATTTCATTTCTTGTTTCTTGGTGTTCGGATCTCGATACAAGACTGCATGATATTTTTCCATCTCGCCTGAGGCGAGGGCTCCACTGCATTGGATAGCATTGCTTACAATAGCGTGATCAACCTGGTTGTTGGCGGGTGCATTCGAGTGGGCGCGAAAACACAAAACGGGATTCTGCTTTTTCTCGCTCTTTTCTTCGTCTGGTGAATCCAGGTCCATTACTTCTTCACTTTTCTGGATATTTCTTTTTTATTTTCTTAATTGTCCGGTCATATTCTTTGTTATTTGGGACATTTCTTTCTCTCTTTCTCTTTTTCTATACGCGAGTCTACTTAGGACGGCATGGGTTTTGCCAATGTTGCCCGGGTGGTTGAATTTGCTCGATTTGGGCGACTGGGAAGGCTTCTCTGATGTTTAGCTGGTGTTGTTGGCATTTTGTCCTACTTGCATGGTTGCGAACTGTTTTAGACAAAAACGATGCCATGGGTTTCTATAGAGTTTGGCTGTCAAGTGAGGCTAGAGAGGAAGAGCGAGACTTCCTTCTTTTCTCTTTCTTTCTTTCTTTCTTTCTCGCTCGCTCGCTCGCTGCGTTGACTGCTCGTTTGGAATCCCATTTGGCTTGTGTTATGGTGCGTATCGCCATAGACTGTGTATTATAAAATCATACGGGGATTCAACGGGTTTCTCATCAATCATCCAGAATATAAGAAAACATATAAAAATCGTTTGCGAGAATAAGAAAGGAAAAGCTAGAATCATACGAGAGCTTCGATGTACTGGTAGTGAACAGTGAATAAGTAAAACATGAGCCAACGGACGGACGGAGTCGCGTGTCGGCGATATCGGATGAAGATCGTTGCTGTTATCAATCGAGTGGAGAGGTCGCGATGTAACCTTATGCTAATGTTAACTAGCAGGTGCAAGTAGCAAGGATGATAGAACTGAGCCCTCGGTCTCCAAATCACGTATACATATTATCGATGCTGCGTCGGGCTTTTGTGCATAAGATTGTCAAACATTCGTTCATGAGACAACTATGTATGCATTTCTTCACATACCGGCCAAATTTGTTCCCACGTTCTTCAGCCTATATTGAACATTGTTTCACTAGCCTGTCAGCCGTCCACTGCAGTGTACCCCGTCAGTTTGCTGAAGATCCCCCCCTGTGGACCCAGGCCAGTTCGGGTCCAAATCTATGCCAGACCAACTAAGCAATTAGGGACGGATCTCCGATGCACGTCTGCGAGGGGAGAAGTCGCTCTGGCTAGCTCGCACTTGTCCGACAATATTCCTGGCCTCTTCGCTCGTGCAGGTCTGCTCGACTTTTTGTTTGTCAAATATCTCATATAGTAATGGAACAATCGAGAGCCCTAATTCTCGTCCCGAAAGGGGATATCCACATACCTCGGGCACCCAGGCACCGACCAACCGACAACCCACGTGGTCGCCGAGCAGCCTATCAGAGGCCTGGGTGCCTGAATGCCTGAGGTGCCCAGCCTGACGTGTCTGGCATAAGCCTACGAGGTAAGGACCGTCGCACAAGCAAATCAAACCACCGACGTCTCTCTTTCTCTCTCTTGCCTTCTTCAGGACGTGGATGGGGAGAACCACCCCGGTTACCTAGAGTGAACCTAGGCCGTTAGCCCTACCAATCTACTACTCCAGCGCGCCGACTGCAATTAATTGCAGTTCCACACTTGAAACAACCGGCCCCTTCCGTTTATCCAATCTTTGTCCGACTCCGGACGGCGTGCGTGCTGCCCGCGCTTCGGCCTGTGATCGACAGGGCCAACTGCTCCTGATTCTCATTATGAGACGCGCATGATGAGGGGGCTCGTCCTATATGAGGGCCGTCTGGTCCGGCAGACCCGTCGGCGGGCTGTCGTTCGGAAACTATTCGTAGTAGGCAGTATGGGTTTTGCAGTGCTGTCGTTGATTCTTTGGATTGGGTGTTTCTGGGGGTGAGTCTCCCTTCTCCCTTAAGTCTCCTGGATCTTGTTCAATTAGATGTATGCGGTTGAATAGTGGTACGTACTAACATAGGTTTATAGAGTCTCCGGCTCCTCAGTCGTCCACCAACCCAGGGGTTCCTGCAACTCCGTGGACCACGGAAATCAATGTTCCCCGCAGATCTCGCACCTCTGGGGCCAGTACTCGCCGTTCTTCTCCCTGGCCAATGAGTCGGCGTTCCCCGCGGACATCCCGGGCGAGTGTCGACTCACCTTTGCGCAGGTCCTCTCGCGCCACGGGGCGCGGTATCCGACAGAGTCCAAGTCGAAGAAGTACGCGAAGCTGATCGCAGCAATCCAGAAGAACGCGACCGCGTTTACGGGCAAGTATACCTTTCTGGAGAGCTACTCGTACGCGCTGGGGAGCGACAACCTGACCACCTTCGGGGAGAACCAGCTCGTGGACTCGGGCGTTAAGTTCTATCGACGGTATGCGTCGCTCGCGCGGCGGAATGTGCCCTTCATTCGGGCCTCCGGGTCCGATCGCGTGGTGGCGTCTGGGGAGAAGTTCATCGAGGGGTTCCAGCGGACGAAAGAGCAGGATTCTCATCGAGGAGAGGGGAGCCAGAACCACACGGCGCCGGTGATTAGCGTCGTGATCCCGGAGACGGACGGGTTCAATAACACGCTGGATCATGGGGTCTGTACGGCGTTTGAGAACAGCGAGCTATCGGATGAGGTGGAGGCGAAGTTCATGGGAGTGTTTGCGCCGGCGATCCGTCGCCGTTTGGAGGCTGACATGTCGGGGATTAAATTGTCGAATGACAATGTGATCAGTCTGATGGATCTGTGCTCGTTTGAGACGATGGCGGCGACGCCCGACGCGAGCGAGCTATCACCGTTCTGCGCGCTGTTCAGTCACGACGAATGGGTGCAGTTCGATTACTACCGGTCTTTGAGCAAGTATTATGGTTATGGCGCTGGAAACTCGCTGGGACCGGCTCAGGGGATTGGGTTCACTAACGAGCTGATTGCCCGATTGACGAAGAGCCGAGTGCATGATCATACCAGCACCAACCGGACCCTGGACTCGAATCCGGCCACGTTCCCTGTGGATGCTGCGTTGTATGCCGACTTCTCGCACGACAACCTGATGGTGTCGACCTTCTTTGCGCTAGGGCTGTATAACGGTACCAAGCCTCTGTCTCAAACCACCGTGCAGACCATCAAGGAAACCGATGGATACTCGTCTGCTTGGTTGGTTCCGTTCGGGGCTCGCGCGTATATCGAGGCCATGCAGTGCAGCGGGGAATCTGACTCCCTGGTGCGCGTGCTTGTCAATGATCGCGTGGTGCCTCTTCATGGCTGCAAGACGGATCATCTGGGTCGGTGCAAGTTGGAGGACTTTGTTCGGGGATTGAGCTTTGCTCGTTCTGGAGGAAACTGGGACGAATGTTTTAACTAGATTTATTCTGCTAGACAGTGCAATGTACTTAATGACCGACTTGTTGTGATTATTCCTGTGGTTGCCTGGGTTTAGCTAGCACTAAAGCAGAGCACTGGACAACAGAGGTTCACCTGCTCAGGACCCCTTCGTTCTGTTGCTAGCGAGAAGACTCATTTCACACCCACCATCTCTTCCATCCTCTCAGCCTCTCCACCCTACGTCTTTTCATCTAATCTTTTCCCATCTCACTCCCCCTCTTCACCACAGACAAAATGGCCTCCTCTCATCCAGACATCTCCCAGACCAGTCCCCGCCGCTCCAACTTCACCGAAACAACCTCCAAACCGATCATCGTGATCGTGAGCCCGACCACCCCAGCAGTCTCAGACAACAGTGACTCGCTATCATCCTCTCCATCCTCCCAGCCGCTTTCCTCTCCACCCCCGGTCCGCCGCTCATCATACACCTCCCTACTGGCCAAGATCGCTCGAGATGCACACCTCCTAACAGTCACCTCGCTCGACACCCTCGAAGAGATCCTGGTCCAGTACGGTCCCAGAATCGCTGGCTTCATCATCTCCTCAGCCGCCATCCTCCATCCTATCCACCATGCACTCGCCATCCGTTTGGCTGACCTCGCGCACAACAACTCCCAAAGCGAAGAAGGCGAGGAACCAGGGAGAAGAATCTACACGATCATCTTCGCCCTCTCCTTCCCCAGCACTGCCATCTCCACCCCCATCCTCTTCCACTCCTTCATGCGCAACATCTTCCACCTCCCCTGGCGCCTTAGCGGGATGACGAACCAAAAAGTCAAAACCAAGCTGCGCGCCTCCGTGCTCCGGAAACTCGGGCAACGGGTCTACCGCGTCAGATACTGCTTCCGCAGCGTGTTTTTGCGGAATGTTAAGTTGGCGGATAAGGTTGTTGTTGCTACGGGGGAGTTTCCAATTGGGGGGCAGAGGGTTACTTCTTCTACTTCGGCTACTACTGGTATGGGTATGGGTGTTGATGGTGCTTTTTGGGTGAGGGATGGAAGTGGGGATTTTGATGAGAATTCAGATGAAGATGCGACTGGCATCGAGACGGCGAGTACGGACGAGGAGATGGAGGAGGATTGGCAGAGTGAAGAGAGTGAGGGAACTGCTGTGGGGGGTGATTTTGGGGATGGGTATTCGTTTGCCGGGGAGGAGATGGAGTATTTTCAGGGCGTTCCTACTGATCTCGTTGGGGAAGGGGGTGGGGATGAGTCGATGCAGATGGACGAGGACGCCGGATTCCTGGCTGACGTGGAGGATAACGAGGTGGATGTGCTGGATGTTCATCCTATCGTCACTACTACCTTGGTTGTTGGCAACAATGTCAACATGAACGACGGTACCCATCATGACGACGCCGTCTCCGACAACAGCACCTTCTTCAGCCCAGATTCTCTCCTCACTCACAGTCCTGCTGCTACCGTCTCCACGCCCGCTACTACAACCATGGGATCATCTTTTGAGGAGGAGGGCGGCGGCGACGATGATGACGATGACGAAGAAGCTGGCGTCGCACTTGCAGGCATCATCATCCCAACCATCGAAGGAGAAGACTCCGCCTCCGAAACCGAGGACTTGGACCTGGACATGAACCTCTCCACCGCTCACATGCACGCACACATGATCAACCACAACCACCACCACAACAACCACAACGTCAACAACGCATCTCTCAACCTCATCCAAGCAGCTCATCACGCCCTCACCACCGCCGCGGATGACTCAGACGACGGAAACCTCACCCCACCACCCCCCCTCCATCCAACCGACTGGGTCTCTTCCGACGACGAAGGCACCAGCGTGGACCTCTGCTGCGCAGACAGCCCGATCGTGATCCACGAGTTTAAGCGGACTGTTGTGCGCGACGGCGTTTCGGAGAAGATGCCGAGTGGGTACGTCGGGTTCGTGGGCCATGTGGATGATAGTCGGTCGATGAGTACGTTGATTCTGGGGATGTGTGCGGTTCCGAAGTTTGTGGAGAATTGATCTGATAATTTGAGTTGGGTGGTTGTGCGTCTTGCGCCTGTGGATGGGGACTGTCTTTGTTGATGGTGGTTAAGTTGGATGCAATGTAAAAAGGGACCTATGTGGATTGCAAGAAAAAGTATTTGATGTAGTGACAGGTGGGAAGACTTTATGGATGAAGGATTGATGAACGGGTTGACATTGCAGCAATAAAAGAAAAGAAGACTGAGCATGAAAGGAAAAGCCGGCAGAGAATACCCAGAAAAGAGATCAATGAAGGTTGAATGACCATGAAACACGTGATACAAAGAATCAACCGCAGTGCAATGATACATAAACATTTCCGAGTAGAATCTAAACAAGATGAGCCAACCAGCCAGTCAGGTAACCAACTCGCTCATGACAGCGCGACTACCATACCTATCTATTATACAGAACAGGATCAAACAGAGACAGAGGCGCCTTGAAAGCCCTTTCACACTACCCACCATCCAGAAGAAGATACATACATCTAATTCCCATCCTCTTTCTTACTCTCCTCTCCCGAGCAAAGCGAAGCAGAAGGCGTAGTCGAAGGCAGCCTCCTCTGGCTCTTATTTCCGTACGCTATGAACCCAACCGTTAGTATCAATAGCCAGCCAGCGTAATTCAACCCGTGGGTAACTTTCATCCAAACGCAAATTCAAGCACACCCCGTGGAGCAACGGGGAAGCAGCAAATGCAAAATAAAAAGCAGAAGGAATGAATGATTGGGGTAGAAAGCAAAAGATAAAGGGTAGATGGGGGAACATACACCTCTCAAAAAGCATATAAGACGTATACATCAGGATCGGCAATGCCACGATCGTCGAAAGCCATCTATGTTGCATCGAGAATGGTATTCGTTAGTCATTCTTCCTTGGTAGGGTCTTTTCCTAATCTGATTCCCCCTTCTTCCGCATCGCATCTCCATGTTAAATGAATGCCGCATCCAACTAACAAGCAAGCAGACAAGTCTTCCTTCCCTTCCCTTTCAACTCACTGCAAACCAAAACCCCCACCCCACCGGAACAAACCCCAAAGAAGGGTTAGGAAACGCAAGAAAAGAAAACTCACCGCCTCGCAGCGACCTTATACTCCTTCGTCTGCCGAATATCCTGGACCGGACGAGGGCGCGTCCCTGTCGGCGTCGGACGTTGATAGTTGTGAGGGTCCATGATGACGCGCCGTTGCGAAGGTTGGTTTTGTTGGTTGGACATGGTTGTTCTTTCTCTCTCGTTGAGTGGGTCTTTTCTTTCTTTTTAAATCGATATATTGAGAGATGCGGATGGTTTGGCCCCTTGTTTCCAATCAATTGATGCCGAACAAGTGCGTAGGGAGTTGTATAGAAGGAAAAGTGGAGGTCGGGAAAAGTTCAGGTCAGGTGAGTGGAGTGGGTTGATGCCTTGATGCCTTAAGAGTGTCATCTCGACTTGGTTGATTTGGGGTATGTAAAGTCTACTGATTTGAATACTTTGCACCGAAATATGCGATTCAAGGGACTCGTTTCAAGACATTCAATCTGCAATTGCAAGTATATAGAGATCCAGCTAAAGTTACATATATGGCTAAGAGAAGAAATCAAAAGGTGTATAGTATAGGTAGACACAAGATCTGGAAAGAAAAAGAACAAAATTGATACATAAAGCTGTGATGCAAAAATGAAAAACAAAAGAATGTTGACAAGAAACCCGAATCAAAGCCAATAGAATACAGTACAGTTGATCCCAGAATTATGTCGTCGTGGTCTTTCATCTTCCAATCTTTCCCATGCTTGTTGAGTCTTTCTTTTCTGGTTCTGAGTTTTCTCAACCTCGCCTTGCTTTTTGCTGGTTTAACTTTTTTTTGTTTTTTGTTTGGCTTCTGTTCATGGAGAATTGCGCGTGCAGCTCGACTCGTTGATCCCTGGGTGGTCCGAAAAGCAATGAGCATGGCCCAGTCGCCGGTCGATCAAACAAGGGGACTCCGCGTTGGGTTGTTGGTATTTTCGTCAGCTGACCCGTTTTCTTTTTCTCCGTTGAAGATTGCCAATTCAACAGTTGCATGTCGCTCAACTCGTTGATCCCCTGAGAGGACCAGGAAACAAGTCCGGCCCAGTCACTGGGTGATCTCACGAGGAGCTGACGTAGAAAGATAAGAAAGATGAAAATGAACGAACGACGAAAGATAAGAAATACATATATGAAAGAAAAAAAAAGGAAAGAACAAAACTCCGGCCCACACCGGGGCAGTTGCTGACTTTCGCTATGCTTAAACAAACAGATTGCTCCAAGGAGCCGCCCCGAAACGCCCAAGCCATAGAACCGAAAGCAAGCAAGAAAAGAACAAACATGCAAAAAGTGGAAAAAAAAAAAAAAAAAAAAAAAAACAGAAATGAAAAAAAAATTAATGAAAAAATGAAAAAAAAAAATTGAAAAAAAGCCAGAAGGCCCATCACTGGGCCTCCTCCGGAGTCCCCTCCGCCCGCTTCTTGCGTGCATTAGCACGGCGGGCCCTCTCCTGGGCATGGTTCTCGAACTCAGCCATTAAGGCTGCCGCCGCGCGGCGGCGAGGACGAGATGATGATCCCTGCCTAGGAGAGGCATGTGGAGGGTTCTCCGGAGTGGCGGCTTCTGCCACCCCCTCGCTGGTGTCAGGTTGCTTGGGGGTGGCAGGCTGCCGAAGCTTGAGCTTCGGCTGCTGCTTGTGCTTGTTTTTGAAGGACAGGGTCAGCCGCGTGAGCTCGGTGGTTTGACCCTGTCCTTCGCCGCCGGAGGCCTCTTGACGGACCTTCTGCCTTTTGTTAGCCTTGCCCGGCTGCCCACTAGCCTCCTCGGAGGGACGCTTTTTGGTTTCGGTTTTGGCGTCGTGGGCAGCCGGGCGAGGCGGCATCTTGAGGATGAGGTTGGGCCTGGTCGGCCCAGTGGGAGTGGCGGCCGGCTCAGGCCCAACCTGGACCTCCGAGTTCCCTCCCCCGACCCGACTACGGCGCTGGGGGCTGTCGACCGGCGCCCCGAACCCTTCAACGTGTCTTCTCTTGCGAGAGGACCTGGTGGCTTTTTCGTTGAGTGGGTTCGGAGCACCGGCCGCGTCGTACTGCTCAATGAGCCCCCGAATTTCCCCCGTGGACATGTGGCGGTCCACGGGGATGTGCCGCAGCCGAGCCTCTTCGCGCGCCTTGATTTTGGCTTTTTCTTCGTCGATGTTTTCGACGGCGAAAGGCGCGCTGAAGGCACGGGGGAGATTACGTTCCCCCATGCGAGGAGGGAACCCGAAGATCCGATCCCTCTCCGCCTGCTCGTCCGACTTCAATCGCAGGGGGGGCTGAGGGAGCCCCCTGTCCCCATAGGTGTTGTTGGGGCGATACCAGTGGTAGCCTGTGGAGACTACCACCACCTCCTCGCCGAACTCATTGGTTTGGCCTGTGTCAATCCAACCATCTTCGTTAGCTTGTAGTTTAGTAGACAGGGATTGGAGATGCATACTGTTGGCCCCCTTGATTGCTTCCTCCTTTTTGGCCTTTACCCCCCCTGCCGGCGCCGCCGATGACGTCTTGGTTGGCTTGACCCGTCGAGCCTTCGCCTTGCGAGATTTGGCCTTACCGGCCCTGGCTCGGGCCGGTTTGGGCTTGGTGGCCTTGGGCTTGGTGGCCGTTTCGGCCTCGGCCTTTTCCTCGCAAGGAAACGGCTCGACAGAACCCGAAAGGTTCCCCGAGGAGTTGAGGTCATGCGCTTGGAGGAAGGAGTTGCGCATCTCCTCGAGGAACTTGGCGTCTTCGGGTTCTTGGGCGTCTGGGTGTGCAACCAAGACATCATCAGCGACGCTGATGAGTCGCATGAGGGTGTCGACCCTCTCGGTCGACAAATTGGTCATGGCGACCGGTGCATAAGGCAATGGAGTGTGGGTTGCCTGGGCCGGGGGGGTTGGCGTATAGGGGGCCATGGCGGAATGGTTCGGCGAGGAGGCTGTTGAAGCCGGACGAGCAGGAGCGGAGTGGGTTGGTGCAGGGATTGAGGTGGAATTTGTTGAAGGGGGACGAGTGGAAAGAGAAGGGGATACAACAGAACGGGCTCCAGCAGAAGGTGCTGGGGTAGGATGGGATGAGGCAAAGGCAATTTCGGGCAAGGCCGCTTCCTCCTGGGTAGCGTGCTTCCTCTTTCTCTTCTTGTTCGGATGGCCATCTCCCTTCTCAGTAGGGTCATCGGTTGGTTTGGCATCGGCGTCAGTCATATCAGCATCATTGCCGTTAGCGGTGGTCTCCTCCTTAGCGGCAGGAGTCCTGGTTCTCTTGCGCTGGAAGCGACGCTCATATTCCATCGATTCCATGGCCCGGACAGTGGGCTTTCTGGTGCGTCCTGAAGTACGCGCACCGGTAGAAGTGCTCGTTGCAAGACTGGTGGGCGAGGTGGGTCCGTCGACTTGACCGTTAAGACCAAAGTTATGACCATACATTTCAGCGGTGTAATCGAAATGGTAGTTGTCGCTGAAGCTATCTCCGTAGACACGCACAGGGGTGCCCTCAACGCTTTCAGCGATCTCATGGTCGTAGGAATGTTCAGGAGTGTCCAGCGCAACCGGCAAAACCGACTCCAGCGCCTTGCGACCCACGTTCAAAGTGATGGTGTTGCTCATTGGGCGCTTGTTGGCACGAGAGCTGCCCTTGACAGAGATTTCAACGCCAGAGGGAGCGGAATCAATGTCCATGGCATCGCCAGAGGGGACAGACTGGTCATGCATCTGGCTGGCAAGATCCGCGACCGACTTGCGGGTGCGGCGAGTGGAAGAATTGATGGGGGTGAAGCCACGTGACGGGGCGGGAGTGACGGGCTTGTCTTTGCCCACCTTTGCGGCGGAGCTGGGGGCAGGAGTGGCCTGAGACACAGCAAGGGGAGTGGAAAGCATGGTGGAAGAGGTATTTGAATTCTGCTGAGAATTTCTCTTCGGCTTACAGTCGGCCTTGGTGGACCGCGGGGTTGACGCACGCGAAGAAGAAGCAGTAAGCTGAGGCTTGGAATCTTGGTTCACAGAGCCGTTCGTTTTGGCTGGCAGAGACTTTCGCATCCTGCGTCTGCCCGAGAAAGTAGAGCCGTGAGAAGAGGTATTGGAATCCGATTTATTTGGATCGGTCAAGTCGGCTTGTGATGCCAACGACTTTCGTCGATCTTGTGTTTTCTTCAAGAACGAATGGAGAGTAGATTGAGACTGTAGACGGGTCAGTTTCTGGAGCAATGAGCATCGCTAAGAGGAGGCAATTTCACTTACTGCTTGAGCTTCATTGCTCAGCTTGCCGGAATGAGGGGTTAGATTTCGAGTACTCTTCTGAGTATCTGTAGATTGAGACTGTGGCCATGTTAATCCCAGTCGATGCAAGAGGGCAATGGCCGACCGAGCATCGCCATAGGAGCCACTGGGGTCAACATACTGCTTGAGCTTCCTTGCTCAGCTTTTCAAGATTAGAATCTTGATTTGGAGTGTCCTTGTGAGATGAATGGGTGGATTCGGACTGTATCCACGTTAGCTTTCGATCGATGAGATGAGGGAAAGTAGCGAGCGACGAGGGATAGCATGGTAGCCCCAAGAAGTTACTTACTGTTTGAGCGTCTGTACTCAGTTGGTTGGAGTGTAAGTTTGTATTTAGATTACTTTTCTGAGAAGTATCAAAGGATTTGGCTGAGCCAGAAGAAAGATCTTTGCTTTCTGAGAGGTGGATGGATCGGTTGCCCTCGAAGGACAAGGAACCTCGTCTCCGTCGACGTTTGGTCGAGGGCAGGGTTTCTTCAAAGGAGGAATGGATGGGAGTGGTGGGGAGAGAATATGAGCGAGATGGATTAGATGAAGTATTAGAAAGATGTAAATCAGGGAATCTGGTTGATCGACGCGAAGCACGAGAAGAGCTGCGTTTGTTTTGATTCTGAAGTAGTGAGAGTTAGGAGGATTCAGGTGTGTGAGAGGAAGAGGGGGGACGAGAGAAGAAGGAATACTGACTGAGGAGGGTTCGAGCAGTGAATTAGCGGGGGAACCCGGTTCCTGAGTAACAGAAGCTCTTCCAACCACTGGATTATGATTAGCATTCACTGCGATTTGGAGGGACTCTTTCGCGTGGAAGAGGACGTAAATCAGGCTTGATCAGGGCAACCCTATACATCAAGCCCTAAATATCTCCCCGGGGCAATGATTGGGCACAACGAGGGCAGTCTTACTTTTGCCTGGCATTTGATGGCTACAGTCCCTGTTCTGGTATTTGTTCTCTGAGAAAACTATGGGAAGCTTCCACTATAAACCGATTCCAGCTCCCTGACTTGCAAGTTGTACGGCTCGGCGGACCGGGGAAAACAGTAGGCCAACGTCAGCCCAACCACTTCTTCCTCCTACTTCTTCCTACGCCTGCCTCAACCGTTTCCTTATCTCAGGGTGAATGGTTCGAGGTTATTCGAGAAATGGAAGTTTCCTGTCAAGATGCGCTTCGCCGTTAGCCAGTGAATGTAACAAGGACGGCCCATTCGGGAGCAAGGACCAGACAGGAGTCAGGAGCTCCCGTCAGCGAGAAAACGTATGACGCAAGCCAGAACAAGGGGCGATCGCAAGCACCACAGTATTCACACCTACCAGTAATTCCTGTTTCCAGTGGCTATTGTGACCAGAGCAACCTCCAACCCGAACTCTGTAGGGAATGAAATCACAGCGTGGCCCGTTCGGTGAAGCGGAAGGCGAGAGTCGGCACGTCAGGACTTTGAAAGCGCAGGGATTACTCCCAGGGCAAAAAGGACGCGATGTGGGACATTTTGTGGCAATGTGAAAGCGACTATCTAGGCGATCGAGGACCTAACGGGGCGTCGCAGGAAATGGGGAAGCCGTCAAAGCGATCGAGGAGCGAGGCAGAATTGTTTGGCAGGCCGACTTGAAGATGCCGGGAAATTAGGGCTTGCGAAGGCGGGTGGCCGGTCACTGGACCGCGGCTTGCCCCAAAGCCGCCGGGCGCTTATCTTAGCGCTTCTTCCGCCTTTTGGCATCCAAAGCGGTCGATCGGCTCATCCTCCGGAACCTCTTGTTCGGTCGCAATCGCCCCAGATCCCTCATTTGGCTTCTATCTTCTCGTCCCTGTCGTTTCTCTGCCCTACCCCGTCAAGATGCAGCTTTGGCACACTCTTCTCCAGCTCGGTCTGCTGGCTTCGACTGCAGTTCCGACCGGCGCGGCTTCTACCTGGGGATTTACTGATGCCACCGTGTCAGTTCACACCAAGGGCGCTGGGGTTGGTTCGGGGTCAAAGGAAGAGTAAGTTGACTATGCTCTGCGATAGCAGCTATCCTATTTAATTCGCCTCGGAAATTAATTACCATATTCCGATTGATAGGATTCCCGACAACAAGGCCATCACCAAGCCGATCTCGCTCGGCGGTGCCGACACCCTCAAAGTCACCCTGACCACCCAGGAAGGTCGATCCGCCAAACGCGCCCATCAAGTGTTCCTCCTTCTGCAGGACCCGGAAACCGGCCTCGACATTTCGTATCCGTTCAATGTGAAGGAGAATGGAAAATCGAGACTTGAGCTGGTAAGATGGAGGGGAACAATTCCTTTGCCTCGGATGGCAGCTAAACGTAGCTTTAGGCCCAGAAAGACCTTCCCGTCCAATTCCTTTCCGTTTCCGAGCCCATCGACGCACGATTCCTTGTAGGCTCATTTGGCAGCTCTGAGGCATACAATGGAGCTGCATTCCCTCTGTTGGTCACCCACGACCCCGACGTGCCCGTCCCTACGGTCGAAACCTCGAGATACGGCAAGCTTCCCGAAATCCATCACATCTTCAACAGCGACCCTCAAAGTCCGCCCGTTGTGATTACACTTGCCTTCGTCGGCACCGTGATTGGTGCTTTCCCTGTTCTGGCAGTTCTGGTGAGTGTTCCTGTGGTTTCTATAATTATTGTTGAGCGCTATCTAACTGATCCTCTATTAGTGGCTTTTCCTCGGCGCCAATATTAGCCATCTCCCTACCGCTCTCAAATCGGCCCCTCTCCCTCACGCTGTGTTCCTTGGATCGCTTGTCTCGCTCGAGGGCATCTTCTTCCTGTACTATACTTCCTGGAACCTCTTCCAGATTCTCCCCGCCGTCGCCGCGGTTGGCACGGTCGCATTCATCAGTGGAAGCCGCGCATTGGGCGAGGTCCAGGGCCGACGCCTTGCAGGTCTTCGGTAAATTCGTCTGGTACTGAATTTGCCGGCAGGTTGTCGAGACTGTCACTTCTGCGGCAGTCCTCTGCGATCTGTCTTCATGTTCGACTCCATGTCTGCGCACGTATAGAGAATGTAGCAGATGAACCGAATCAAGATGAATTCTGTAGCTATTCCATGAATCACCAGTTCAATTCTAGGGCCAAAAATCCAAAGTAAGCAAACTGGGTGCTGCGTCGAACCTGACGTCACCCGCGCGGCTACCGCGTCGACCAATCAGGTTAGCGTGGCGGCTGCTCTGCAGAAGATGGAGGAGCTTCTCCGAGATGCGGTCTTCAAACTGTCCAGCAAGCCCAACCTTTTCAATTACACCACCCTTTGCTCGAGAAAATCATAGGCCAACCTGATCAATGGGCGCCTCATCTTCTAAACCCGTGAAGTCGGCCGCTCAGGCTGCCTCGCGCCGTCAATATCCGAAGAAACCTTCTGCTCCAACCTCCGCTCCCTCCGCTCCAACGCCGCCACCAAAGACTCGCAAGCAACTAGAGACAAGTCATGCTGGACCGACATATCACTCCAAGGAGCAACCATCTCTAGTGAAATCGAACGGTACGTTATACCATCCGTCCCTCCTGGCCTCGATCATACCACCCCACGGGTCCCGGAAACGACGGGGCAGCGATGAGGCGCACTGCCTAGAAACAGGAACTCAGATGCTAATCATTGATGATCCTCAACAGCCATCGACATGGACGGACGTGATCCTGATTTCGCCGCTTCCCTCCGCAGCATTGGTCCCGTCAATCCCGTTCCGACGTACTCCCACACCAGCACATTCTCCCCGCAGCCGTCTCAACAGCAGCGCGGCCCGGCACAACCTGCATTCGTTCCGGCATCGAATCCAGCTCTATTGGTCTATCACGCTCGCGAGCAGATGAACAAGGCGGCCAAGTACGAAGTTGAGAATGTCGGTCGGCCGAGCTTCGCGGGGCGGGAATTCTTGGACGCGGTGACAATCCGTCAGGCGCTGTCGATGCGCGATCGTCAGGGTATCCGACCGGGAGAGATCGAGCGGATCTTGCGGTTGAAGACGGGTGTGGTCGATCGACTGGGGAAGCAGGGCGTTGTGTCGGAGCTCCTGTAAATGGGCCGACCGTGCTAGTGGGTTGAATATATTGTGCATTATTGATCGTGTTCCATGGCGTTTTCTTTTTATATATATGACCATCTCCTGTATAATATTTGTTTATGAAGCTATGAAGTTAATCTCAATGATGGGAACTCGTGGGCATGGATGTTCGGAGTCACCCCTGCCATCTCCGGTGTAGTCCAAGTAACCAGACTAGTCAAGTGACACCGTGATACTCTACTCCGTTAGGTAGGTAGTCTCAAGGCAGAGGATAGCAAAGCCGCCAAAAAAGAGGAGCGGTGGGCCTCGTGGGCTCGTGAAAGTCATATGCGGTGTACAATACGGTGTGTTCGAAGTTAATCCCATCGTCGATCGTTGATCCACTTGACGAAATTTGTTGCCCTTCTCTTTCTGTTGAAATGTCAGTTTGGATGAAATTGAAAGCATCAAACAAATACGAGTGATCGACCTTTAATAAAAGGGAGTCGCTCTGGGCACACCCCTTAGCCCGCTCACACCCCTACATATGTACTATTCTCCCGCAGGACTAAAGTTTGTAATAGTCTTACATAGTATATTTAACTTTCTCTTTTATACCCAAGTCTTTTGCTTAGATTAAAGATATATATATTAAAAAAAACACTTTTGATATTAAATATGATCTAAAAGGTTGTTTTATCTTGTACTCCCCTAGTCTTGTCCTTCATCTACTGCTCGTAATCCTAGGGCCGCTAACGTCGATCGGCTCACAACTAAACTTACGGAGTAGTTCGATTGGCGTGATTGCACATCATTTGGACATGCGGTCCCTATTGGTCTTTTTCCAAGTATGGAGGAATTGGGCTTCTTTAGGCGTCTATGGTTGGTAAAACCCACGAGATGTCAGGGTCAGGATCATTGTTGGTGGAAGGGACCTCGGATCCAACAGTCAATATCGATGGAGGTGTAGGCTTCAGCGCTCTATAGAAGGAATTAACGCAATCATGCCATGCCATTCTATACATGGGGATCTTCTATTTGTCAAAAAATACGGGATTTCGTACAAGAAATTCAATATATCTCTTTCGACGGGGTTTTTACCCCTGTTTACCAGTATGATAGGCATTGACCGTGCCAATGCTCTTGGCTTTTAGCCCCCAAATTCTTGTGTACTTTGTTTTTATCTTTTCTGTTCTGTTTCTTTGCTTTTTGCTTTCTTATATTACACATAAAGTCAAGTCCACTTTCTTCTTCTTTCTCCTCCTCTTTTCCTTTATTCCCGTGAAGGTTGGTTCAAATGGCGAAACCCCAACACTGGTCGTGGACCAGCCTCATCGCCGCCCTTCATATAGCTTGCACCATCGCTGCAACAACGACTCACCCTCCTTGGTTCAACGGATACTACGTACACTATGAGGGCGGCAACATGCAAAGTTGGTTTCCATAATTCTCTCTTCCATTACACCCAGCTAATAATCATTCTTGTCTCAGCTGATACCATCAGCTGTGAAAAGACATCGTCCTTCTCCAGTTCAGGATCCTACGCCAACTGCTGCGGCACTAAAGGCGAAGAATGTCCCATGCCGACGACCTGTCGCGATCACACGGTATATATGGATAACGGCGCCTACTACAAATGGTATACCCAGCCCCGTCTACCGCGATCACCTCAATTCCCCTACGCAGAATGGGACATGCATACTAACAACTCCCATCCTATAGCGGCACATCCAGCGACTGCGTCACCATGACCGTCTACGAAACCTATCCTTTCGGGGAACCCTTCGTCAAAAACGTCTTCTGCTGGCCTAACTGGGACGCCCACACCGTCTATCGCCAACTACCTACCTTCCCGACTACCGCCTCCGTCGCAACCACGTCCGGCCTCACCGCGTCCGCCGGCTCCACAGTCCTCGAAGCGACCGCCAGCAGCACGAGCAGCAGCAACGCTGATTCCGACTCGGACTCGGACTCCGAAAATCCCTCTAACAAGGGCTGGATTGCCGGCGCCGTGGTCGGACCCGTCTGCGGCATTGCACTGGGATTGTTCGGCGTTTGGGTGGGATATCGCAAGGTGCGGAAGGCGCGCGCCATGCAGGCTGAGGCGACGATGGTGTTTTCTGCCGCGCAGGCGCAGGCGCAGACTGTGCAGGACGGGTGGTATCCGCAGGAGGCGTATGGAAGGGGGGTGTATCCGCAACCGCATGTGGAATTGGATTCGTCGATTGTGCACCAGAAGCCTTGATTGCGGGGCTTGTTTAAGAGGAGGACTAACTTGTGGAACAGTCTAACCCTGCATATATACAGGATTAATGAAGTGATGAGATTGCGTAAATATCAGGTTCCTTTCTGAGCCGGGATGGGAGATTTGTCTTCAATATTTTATACCCTTTTCTTCAGACGAAGAGTGGCTAGGACACTCTGCATGATATCATGATTCGAATGCATTTCTAGACAATTTATAGATACGTCTACGTGTTTGATATAGCGTCTTAATTAACAAGCAAAAGCCTTGAACCTTGCATTGACTACCGGCACAGAGATTACATTAAACTACAATGCATTTAGAGCCCTAAGAAACTACTGTCTATATATTGCAAGCACCTATGACGCAACTAGGCTAGTAGAAACCATTTAAGCTTCTAATCTAATCTCAACCTCGTACTATACTTATCTACCATTTGCCAAAGGCACTCCTGTCTGTATAGTATCTATTCCCCGCCCAGCAACTTAGGTCGTCAACAATATACCCAGAAGGGAAAACATTTGTCTCCTCAACCTCCCGGATCATTTCCTCAAGCCTAGCATAAACAATGTTGTAAGCTTTCACTAAATCCCAATCTAGCAACCCGAGATGTCTTCTCTTTTACCTCTTGGTTTCCCCATCAATCCACAACCAAGAAACTTTCGAACGTCCTCGCCCAGAGAGGTAACCCGACATATCGACGAATCCTCAATAAAGCATGTAGTTCATATTAATGGTGGATTAGAAGATCTGGTGACATAGGCCTCGGTCAAATGATCGGAAATACTAGATTATGATTGATTCCGTGCGAGGAGGTTGAATTGGGCAGGTAGGTCATTTAGATGGATCTACTCTAGCGAGGATAAAATAGACCACTGGACTCGTTTGATTGCCAGGTATGTATACTAGGTAGGTGGGTTGGTGTGTGTGTGTGTGTGTGCACCTACTTAACCGAAATTAGTCTTTCTCAAACATATCGAATAATATCTCCACGTGGGTAAATGAACTTCACAATCCAACGCACAATCTCATTTTCATCCACCATACCTCAATAGCCGGCACCAGCCGAGTCATTCCCAATATCAAGGCGGAATAAACCCCTTCCCTCAAGATAAAGACTCGATCTAGACACATACTTGGCTGATAGATTGCCAACGCATCCAACCACGTGAGCATCCTTCCGCGCCCAGAACATGCATAGAATTTGTTAGGCAGGTATAGTGACTAGAATTATGCATAGCTCCTATGTATGTACATGCACAGAATTGCATGCGTGACGACTGACGACCGACTCAAACTATAATCCTCATATACTGTCTTGATATATCCCATCTGGGTTAGTCATGCGAGCAATAAGCCAAAGATACAAGCAACAAGAAACTCCTTGCATTGGTCAGTCTTACCTAACATATAGACTCGAGCCCAATGCCGGAGGTTAGGCATCAATTTTATAGTTTATCCTATGGGTAGATTTGATTTCTTTTTTTGTGCACGAGTCGGTCTAGCTTAGTCCCATTGTTCTGGGTATGTTGGTGTCTATGCTACGAGAATATGGATCTTAGGCGAACCCGTGACTAAGGTAGGTACGGACTGGATCTGTAAATAGCCTAAAATGGCATCACTTGTAGAAAACAACATCTTCCAATCATCGTCGCGACTCTGGGTCTGGATTTCCCGGAAGTGCAGCATCTCACCTCCTCGAACTTTACCGTGTAGAGCAGGCGGGGCAATCAAATACATACCTTACAGTGGCAGCCAACTACAAGCCTCTTAGGTTTGATTCGTGCAAGTAATTTCCATGTGTCGAATCAACTAATTTTCTGATTTGTTTCCAACTCGACAGTTCCCACTACTCAGACGTTGCCCCACCACAGTCTGTGGGGAAACCAAACTGTCATGCACGGATTCAGATAGAAGAAAACCCAATGAATGCTGAGAATAGCAGATTCCAAATGTCTGACAAACTAATCGAATCAATTGCTAACTCTTTACTCGATATGCAATAGTAACAATAAGTTAAGACCACCTGACATCCGGGCACCATCCACATTTACATCTACATCTTATACGCCGAATATACATACCGAACAAACGAAAAATAGGTGATGACCGACTATCTACCTACCTAATATGCTCGACAACATTAATCAACCCTAGTCCCATGACAAACCCCAGTAAGCCCTATACCCTACTCAACCATTTGCGGATCTCTCACATCCTTACAATATCTACTAAGAAGTGTAAGGCGGACTACTAGGTAGACTCGTGATGATGTCTTGATGTCATCTCCAGCCCTCTCAACTACGGATCCTACAGAGAACGGGGACTCAGAAGTTCGAACCAACCTATCAAGAGCCACTGAACCAGTGCCGGGTCAATTATCTAGAAAAAATTGTTTAGGTCGGGTTCGCCTTGAGAAGTGGGGACTGGGACTGAGCGACACCCCGAACGAAGATCCAGGGAAAAAAAATAAGTGGGGGCGATCGCTGACTTTCGGTACCCCGGATTTGGGAGGGCCTGGCATTGTCTTGAGGGGGGAGCGGTTTTGGTAATTCCGGTGTTCTACTTGGCTTGGTTTGGGTTAAGGTGGTAGGTAGTCTGGTTTGCAGTGCCATTTTACCCATGTCCAGTGTATCTTTTTCAGAAAAAGAAATGGATTCCAGTATGCGATATACAACTAGGTATAATATTCTTGCTTTAATGATGCCTACATACTGGGACTCATCCATTAATTCCCTAGCCCCAAACAACAACACAAACAGAACAGCCCAACACTGTCATTAAAGTTCCCTCAAACGGTGGGGTGTCATGTGCGATCCACACTGTCAGATCGGACGCTAACATGGCCGATGATGCATCCTTGGGTAATTTTACTCGTTTGTCTGGTAGTTAGTCCCTTGCCTTGTCTTTCCCTTGGAATTCGTGTCTAGCCAGGGATGATTGGGTTGTTGGGTCAGTCAATGTTTTTCTTTTTTTTTTCGTTTTGATTTCTCAACCACCCACCTTGATCTTCCCCACTTCTTTCTTTGGCTGGGTCGGGTTCCGAGATGTGCACGCGACAGTTGATTTGGGTTTGTATTTGGTTGAATGGTTGAGGGTACGTACTATTATTTAGAATGTGATTAGATGGAAAGGTGGATGGATATAAACTGAAAGGGCTAATTTTTAAATAATGATGATAATAATCGTAATAGTAGATACAGGAAATGAAGAGTAACGGTCTAAGAAAAAAGAAACCCCAGTCGATACCCCTTCCCTTGTTCCCCGACACCGGTGGTGCTAGACAAAAAAAAATGAAATAGGAAACAGAAAATCAACGATTCGTCGCCCCAGGAAGAAGGATGAGAGAAATCAAACGTCATGACGATGCTTTCCCAACCCTTTCCCCTCATTCGTTCCTGAGTTTGAAACCACACCGATAGTATCGCTCGCTATTCCCGGACGCCATGCAGTAGAAAAGAACAATTATGTAAAGTAAGTTCGTCGTTAAGAGAGATGCTCATTCATGGATGCCATCTACCAGGCAGCGTGGCCACCGTCCATGCGCAGATCGCTGCCGGTCATGAACGTGCTGGCATCGCTGAGCAGGAAGACGGCGGCGCCGCGGTATTCGTTGGGGGTGGAGAGACGACCCAGCATGTTCTCCTTGGGCCATTGGTCGCGACGCTCGGGGTACTCGATGAACAGCTTCTCGACCATAGCGGTGACGATGTAGCCGGGGGATATGGTGTTGACGCGGATGTTGTAGGGGCCCCACTCCATGGCAAGGTTGCGGGAGAGCTGGAGCACGGCGGCCTTGCTAGCGTTGTAGGCCGGGCAGATGAGACCCTGATAGGAGGAAATGGATGTTAGCAAGAAGAACCAATGATGATAGGGAGGTGGCGTGGTAGGACAGAGAGAAAAAAAAAAAAAAAAAAAAGCGGGGGAAAGTCAAGAGACTCAGACCCGTTCCACGCAAAATGAGAATGAAGGTAAATGAGGCAGGCAAAGACGAGGAACGTACCCGATTGGCGACGGTGCCACTCATGCTCGCAATGAGAGCGATGCTTCCACCATTTCCAAACCGAATCATCTGCTTGGCAACTGCCTGAGCGGTCATGAACACGCCAGTAACGTTGACCTCGAACATCGTATTGGCGTCCTTGGAGGTGTACTCCAATGCCGGAGTCTCCTGCTGGATACCGGCGGCAGCAACCAATCCATCCAGACGACTTTCAGTGTCAGCAATCGATTCGACGACACTGTTCAACAACTCCGTGTCACGGACGTCAATCCGACGGTAGTTGAGTTCCGTGCCCAAGTCCTCGCGTGCACGCTTCTGGATTTCGTAGAATTCTGGGGACTAAGACAGCGGATATGTTAGCAAATCATGCGCTGTTGTTTTACCTCTTTCACCGGTGGGTTACACAGATCAAGTTGTCTGGGCGACTCCCCATCCGGCTGATATGTTGGGGTCACACTCACGGGTTCCTCCAAACGGTCCAAGGCGTAAACTTTGGCACCGGCTTCCAAAAGAGCTTCCGCTTGGGTCAGACCAAGACCACGGGCTGCCCCAGAGACGCAGACAACCTTTCCAGCCAGGCTGAACTCGGGCATTCTGGTCTTGGATCCAAGGCAAGGGCCATCCTGCACGGCGACAGGGGCGGGAGCAAAGTCATTCGTTTCAATCGAGACAGACATTGTGATATGTGAGTGTGTATGTGTATGAAGATATTAGGGAACAAGATAGACGAAGAGAGTAGATGAGAGGGGAAGAGAGAATTGACAGATAACAAAGGTTCTAGTGTAGTTCAAATGACCAAAGAGATTATAGATTGTTTAAGAAGAATGTTTCGATGAGAGAGATTCAATTGACGATAGCAACGAAACCATTCACCCGGACGAGGAGGGTTCTTAAATACTTGACCATGGGATATGGGAGGCGTTCCCCAAGGGTAAGGTCGTACTAGATCTCCGGGGGAAAAAAAGGTCATGAGGACTCATGTGAGCCAAAACAGACCCAACGAAGACCGATGCCCAAGAAAGGACAACTGCGAGGGCGGGTTCGGTCTGGACCCAAAGAAAGTGAATGCGCGGGCGTGGCCCTCCGTTCGTGGCAACAGGAAGGAAATGGGTGGATGGAATTTCGCCCTACCACGATACTTGCACTGCCATCGCTATACTTACAGTATGGTATACTATTCATAGACTGACGCTTGTTTTGCCTGGTTTTTCCTGGCATAGACCAACTCCAGACTGTAAGATTGAAGCGATTTCTACGTAATCCATAACGAATAATTACCAGAATAGTAGGGACTGATCAAAAGTACGATCTGGGAGGAAATCCCATTTGCAAAGATTCGCTGGTGATGAAAGAATGACTCCTCGCGAAGGAGATGCCCTCCGCCCAAGGCAGTCAGTGGCCGACAGTCTCGGATTGCTGAAACGGGCAAGCCGGGGGAACCGGGGGCAAATCCAGGCTCGGCGCGCGGAACGAACTAAGAGCGGATATGCTGTCGCGGCAGGTCACGAGTCTCCCGCCCAGGCGGTTCTGGAAGACCATTTCATGCCGGTCGAAGATTCGATAGCAAGGCCCTTCATGGTCACGGGGACCATTCGGAGATCCATCCGGCCAATCCGTTGCCGGTCTATTGGACAAGCACCCCTTCATCTTACCAATCAAGGACTGTCTGGACTCATCATTTCCCATTCGTTCCTGTGCTAAAACCATCCCGGTAAGCTTATCGTTTGCCCTCGGCTTCATTGGCCAATTCTCTTCCTGTTCAACAGATTTTTTTTCTCCAAAATGTGGCTGAACCTCCTTGCGCTGTCTACATCGAGCGTTCGAGAATCCGGGTATCCAGGTACATCCTGTGTGCCCTTGAATTGCTTAACACGGAAAGTACTTGTACTCTGATTAGTTATGAATCGCGTAAAGTTGGGGGACTCTTGAAGATTATGACCGGAATCCCCCCAATGTCTTACTGCCGGTAAGCTTGGTCTAAATATAGACCCGGTATATAGTTCACGGGGCATCAGAGACAACCACAGAACCATGGACGCCGGATGGCAAATCAGTAAACACAAGTATCAGGCGTTCAACCCCCACAAGGGCAACAGTGCTGTACAACTAAGACTACGGCCTGTATCTGTTGGATACCCCAATCTTTCGCACACATCCAGGGGTACACTTAATCTGATCCCGGGGCCGATCCGCCATAGTACCGTGTGACCTTCAGAGTTTTTAAGGGCATTGAAAAGTGGCGTCCTCGATCCGGGGGCATAGAACCACAAGAACGGATGAAAGTGTCATGGTTAAAGCTGCTTACCCGATTGGGATCTTCCGGGGAGCTCCCCCCCATCTCGGCCCCGGTTTTTCTGTTCCACCCTCCAGACTCTCTCCCTGCCGTCTTGTTTTTTCACTTTCGCGCGGAATATGTATATGCGTTATCGATAGATGCTCTAGCCAGGGACAACTAGTACTAGGAATTGTCCAACGAGGACCCCTCCTATCCCTTCCGGTCCACTCACCCGCTTATCTGAACGGCTTAGACGGGAGAACACCCATGTTCAATTGCCGGGGGGTTTCCCGAGTTCAAGTGGAATGTTCTGATGTGTTCTAGATCCGGCATCTCAGAAATCAATTTACCTGTTTCCATTTGGTTTTCTTGTCTTTGCGACAGCTTATTTTGACAGCCACTGGGATATTCCAGGGTCATAGTTAGATTTCCTCACCTAGAAGTTTTAGGTAGCTAAGGAAAAATACTTAGAGGACTGCTCTTTTTTAGAATAGATTGAAAACCCAGTTCCCGAGGCCACCTGGACAAGAAGCAACCGCCACAAAGCACGGAGCGGACTCCACTCGAACTACATACAAACAGAGTAGATAGACTTGGGTTCCTTGTATAGTACAGTACCTGACGATCGGAGATATGCCGACCTCACCAATTCGAAGATATGCACGTGGTCAAGTCTCAGCATTTTGATCCGTAGTGTTGGGAGGCCAGAGCAGTCTCCCACCTTGCTCAAAGCGGGGGATAACAGCTACAGGAAAACCCGGTTATCAATGGGATGTGACAGCAAGCGCACGAACCAGCATCTCCAGTCCGTAACCGAATAGTGAATACACTCCCTTACTGAGCGGATGCGCGCGCATCGTCCCCGGAGGAATCATTCAAAACCATCGTCTTCTCCGCTGGGAAGCCGCTTGGATGTGTGATGGCCACGTCAGCTTTATCTACAGCGATCTTGGAATTCCAATATGGTCTGTGTGACTGGGCTGGGGCTAGTCTGGCCTGGAGACAGCAACCGGGAATTGGGAATCAACCGGCTGCCGCCAGAGAGTCTGCTGGGACTGGAAGAGTCGAGGCCGTTTAGCAGGAACCGGACGATGGGCAGGGATCAAAAAGTCTGCTGGTCACACGGCCAGTCGGGATTGGACCCATTGCAGTTTAGCCCTGAGTATCAATCGGATCTGGCCGCACAGACCAACGGGGGTCTGGAACCTGGGGGGAGGGACTGGGGTAGGGGTTCTAACTTTCTGCGTGCGGAGGTTTTAACGTTCGTTTCTATTTCTATATGCTACTCTCTCCTCTGGTACAGTGCTCCCCGTAACGCCAGCAGTCGCTGAGGACAACCCCGCTAGGCTTTATAAGCAAAGGGAATGATTATCCGCCATCTAAGTTTCATAGTATTAGAATATTCTAATTTCCTCTTTCTATACCTTCCTCGAGACGTGTTGCAAATTACGTAAAAGTCTATCGGACCCAGCAATCAGGCCATTTGCTGACTGACTGTTCCAAAGTGGCTTGTCAGACTTCGATAAACAACTAATCATGTTGGAGATGTCAGGACCAAGACGCTTATCGCGAACCCTGCAAGAAACGTTGCTCGGCTTCAAGTCGAGGTATAGTTAATTGATGGTGATGATACATGTCGCATTGCTCATTCTCCTTATCTCATTGCTCTTTGCGATTCGATCAACCTACTATTCCAGCTCTGGATACATATCAGAGTACCCTCGCAGTACCCCTTTTGGTTGTCTATTGTTATTTCCCTTGTGAACTAGTCGTTTCGAGCCCCATGATCTTATTTGCTGCTAACAGTCCAATCAGAATAACATCACCTGGAAATCTCACGGGGTATTGCAATTCAGTTCTTCTACAGTCAACATCAAATACGTCCGGTGAGCAGTTGAGACCTGACTTACCATTGGGAAGCATCCAGGGCTAGATCTTGACGAAGATGCGTCTCAAGTATACAATGAATGGAATGTTCTCCAGAATATCTGGCACTTTCTCGTATTCACACATCGAGCTTCCGAATAACTTTCTTCCATCGTTCATCGTTCGGTTCGTCTGGGACCAGAGATGACCTCTTTCGAAATAGGCGTTGGAGCTCTTCTTTCTTCAATGCCTCGTAAGGCTCAGTTACTAAGCAAGGTGTCATAACTAACTAGTAGACCTGCGAGTGAACAGATGACTCTATAGTAATTGGTTAATCGCGCAGTGGAAAGTGCGCGGCATTCTCCATGTTAGTGGCCTCTGAGCCATGTAACGATGACCAGACGTCCAGCGATCCTATACAGCGCTTAGGCTAGCGCAATTAACAACTTTGCCCATGGATGAAGGCTACTGCCTCGACTGCTTATCGTGCGATTTGACGTTAAGAGCGGTGAGTCAGTGCGGTTTCTTAAATGGAATTCGATGTCGCCATTACACTCGTATCGCAAGTCGATGAAATCACCACTCTAGCTGAAGCACGGTTCTACCCGGTTAGGTCTGCTCAAGTGGCTATAGATCCAGGATGTCCAACGGGGTTTCCCGGACGACATTTTGATTCAAATTGTGGACGGCGGGTTGACCGACGCTGCTAATTTTTTGTTGACTTGGTTACTCGATTTCGCGACGGATCCAACTCTATATTGGTCGTGTAGCAAGGCTTTTCGTGATAATGTGCTCCCCATATCTTGCAGAATAGAAGCCTTGATGACCAGAATCGGATAGTAGCTAAGTCTGCTACCATTTGCACATAACAAGAAGGCATTGAAATTCTGTCCTGATCCCAGATGGGTCATGTAGGATCATAGCCCTCTCTATAAAAGAAAGCTCAAGTCACTCAATTAATTCATTTCTTGATCATCCGAGAGAGACATTCAATTCACTCAGATACCCGAAAGCTAAAAGAAAAAGAATTGTGCCAGCCCTTGAGCGAAAGTGTGGGGTTGGAAAGTGAGAGAACCCCCAGAGTAAGATGAGGTTGGCATCAATTCTTATTTTATTTATTCTTTCCCGTGCCCACCGTTCGTCCACAATATCAGACTCAAAATGTTTCAAGATGCTTGTCCGTGGCTGAGCAACATTTTAGGCCCCCATATCGCGGCTGATCGACGTGAGTCGTCGGGTCGTACGACTATTTCGCCCCGTGCTGCCTGCTGACAGCCTGACGGTTCAGACTTCAGCCTCCAAGGCTGTGATTTAAACCAGGAGTGACCCTGCTTCGTTCGGTGATCCTACTGTCAGTCGACTGTCGGCCCTAACTTGCTTTTACATATTCACAACCCAGTCAGGAGTGAGGAAAGAGTCATGTCTGCTGGGTTCCTCCCCGCACAAGCGCCCGCCGGCGTCCAATGCCACAAAATCGATTTCACAGCTACCGACCCACCGTTGCCCAAATACAAGGACCTGTTCGCAGCCGTGATTGACAACGTCTTGACCCCGGCAGAATGCGAGGAACTCATCCGCCAAGCAGAAGCTTCCACCATCACCTCCACCTCCACTACCCCAACTTGGGAGCGGGCCATGATCAACGTCGGCAATGGGAAGCAGGCTCTAGCGACCGACACGCGAAAGTGCGGGCGGGTTATCTACGACTCGCCGGACCTGGCCCAGAAGCTTATGGACCGAGTCTTGCCTTTTCTAAGAGACTTCGGCCTCGAACGCGTTGAAAATCGGCTCCGCGTGACCGGACTGGCTGGTCGCAACAAGGTTTACCATCTCACACGACTGAATGAGAGACTTCGCTTTCTGAGATACGAAGGAGGCGAGTACTTCCGACCGCACTGGGACGCTTCCTACAAGACTCCCGACCGCCAGGAACAGTCCCTCTATACCATCCATCTGTATCTCAACGGGGATGGGGATCAGGATGTCCAGGAATTGAAGCGCCAGCAGGAGCGCGTGGATAACGGCGGTGAGGTGAACCTGAACGTAAGTGGAAAACTTCTGGGAGGTGCCACCTCGTTTATCCCCCGGTTTGAGGAACAGGAGACCCAAGTTCGCGTGTTTCCTAAGACTGGATCGGTGCTGGTGTTCCAGCAGAACGATCTCCTTCACGGTGGAGATCCGGTTTTTCGAGGCACTAAGTATACGGTGCGGACGGATATGATGTATCGCGTGCAGTGATTCCTGATCATAACCATGCAATGCATATAGGAGTCCACCGTGCTTGGTGCAAAAGGCTTGTGGATTCCAAAGAGGGATTCCCTTGGGCTCCGAAGTTCTTCCGCTAGGGTTGTTGAATACCTTTGTGAGACACTACGGAAATGTGATTGCCTAGGGATGTCGAGTCAGATACGCCATTTCTATGCTTTCTCACGGTGCACACCATATGGGTCGAAGGACAAGTATAGCCGGACTGGGCGCAGCATTACAATCTCTTCAATGCCATATCAGTGAATAATCAGACAGACATAGATAGAGCATGAACGAGCGCATTACAGAGTCAATCAATATAAAAAAAAAGCATTTGTCTTTTAATTTTTATACTTGACTAGTTATGCAAAGAAATGCTGGCATGCTGACTCAGAGACCCACTCTTCAGATCCCTCAGGCATCGAAGGCTCGTATTCGCTGTGCAAGGCTTGCAAAGTCCTCCCACGAACCGGATTTCCATTTCTTTTCATTTCCCTCCGACCCACTTAGACTCGCCCTTACTTTCGATCCTCTCGCGATCATGCATCTTGCTTGACGATGAAGGCCCGATATCAATATGTACTCCGTATCTTTCTGGCGTGTTTGCTTTGCTGACTGCAAGATTATCAGGGGTGAAAAGGGTCAATCTTGACCTCGCACGAATCCTGCTCCGCGATGCAACATTACGGTTTTACGGTGTAGAAAGATTGCGGGTTCTGAAACGGTCATGTCCTTCAGAATGTGGCTAAACGAAGCTCCAATCGGTGTCTTAGTCTCCTCACGATCTCCATCGCATCAGCGGAAGAGCCGGATCCTAGTCAGAAATTGACATCATGGATCAAAACATGTGCCTAATGGCCCCTAATGACCATGGTTCTCTCGGACCTGCTCGAGAAATGCCCCAATAACGGATCCGCGGTTCTGCAGAACCAATTTCTTAGTTGCGCTTCAAGCCTCCGTTGGTGCTTGGCCAAGCTTTTCCGAGTCTCCCTTTAATAGACTGCGCCCCCTGGCGAAGGGCGACCGCCGGAATTTGGGTCTCAGAGTCTTGGGTAATCTTAAAGAAAGCCCCTCTCGCTCACTCTTGTGTTCGGGGATAATTTCTTTTTGCTCTCACGCTCGACCTGCGCGAGTAGCTAATAATAACGCTCCTCGACATGAAGGCCTCCACAGCTGTTGTCGCTCTGGCTGGGCTGCTATCCGGTGAGTAGGCTGACTGTCGTCTCCCTCTCCCTCCTTTTCACACGTCAAAGCTGCCAAAATTCGGTTTTCTGACAGCAGTGGGATCATATTGATAGGCGCGACGGCTGCCCCTGAAAATATCTATGGAGAGGAATTGATGGTGCGGGCGCTGCCCAATGCACCAGCTGGATATAAACCTACTTCCGTGAGCTGCCCGGCCAGCCGTCCGACCATCCGCAGCGCCGCCAAATTGTCGCCCAATGAATCGGATTGGCTCGAGACTCGACGAGGAAAGACAAAATCCGCCTTGAAAGACTTTTTCGGCCATGTCACCATCAAGGATTTCGACGCCGCCGGATACATCGACCGTGTCTCCAGCAACTCGTCCAACCTTCCCAATATCGGTATCGCGGTGTCGGGTGGTGGTTATCGCGCTCTTATGAACGGTGCCGGTGCGATCAAGGCCTTCGATAGTCGTACAGAAAACTCGACGAGCAGCGGACAGCTGGGTGGATTGCTTCAATCGGCAACGTATGTGGCCGGTCTGAGTGGTGGTTCTTGGTTGGTTGGCTCTATCTTCGTCAACAACTACACCACCATTTCCGACCTGCAGACGACTGAAAAGGGCAGCGTCTGGCAATTCCAGAACTCTATCTTTGAGGGTCCCGATGGTGGGAGCATTCAGATCTTGGATTCGGCGAGCTACTACAAGGATATTCACGATGCGGTGTCTCAGAAGAAGGATGCCGGATTCAACGCTTCTATCACGGACTACTGGTACGTTTTACACCTCTTTCGGATTTAGAAATAGCCTAATATGTTATCTTTCAGGGGTCGTGCGCTGTCGTATCAGCTTGTCAACGCTACCAATGGTGGTCCCAGCTACACCTGGTCGTCCATTGCTGAGACCGAGGCGTTCAAGAACGCAGACATGCCGATGCCCCTGGTCGTTGCCGACGGTCGCAACCCAGGTGAACTTTTGGTGAGCAGCAACGCCACGGTATATGAGTTCACCCCGTGGGAATTTGGTACTTTCGACCCTACTGTTTTCGGATTTGCGCCGCTCGAATATCTCGGCTCGGCCTTCGACGGCGGTTCTCTCCCCAAGGATGAGAAGTGTATCCGAGGATTTGACAACGCCGGGTTTGTCATGGGTTCTTCATCCACTCTGTTCAACCAGTTCCTCTTGCAGGTCAATTCGACCTCTCTCCCCGGTTTCCTCAAATCGGCCTTCACCGACATTTTGGAGGAAATCGGCCAGGATGAGGAGGATATTGCGCTATATACACCCAACCCGTTCTATCACTGGTCCAATAAGACGTCTCCCGTCGCAAACACTAAGGAACTTGACATCGTGGATGGTGGTGAGGATCTTCAGAACATCCCGGTCCACCCTCTCATCCAGCCCGAGAGACATGTGGACGTCATCTTCGCCGTCGACTCCTCGGCCGACACCGACTACAGCTGGCCCAACGGAACCGCTCTTGTTGCTACCTACGAGCGTAGTCTCAACTCTTCCGGCATCGCCAACGGTACTGCATTCCCTGCAGTCCCCGGTCAGGATACTTTCGTCAACAACGGACTCAACACGCGCCCGACCTTCTTCGGATGCAACAGCACCAACGCCACGGGCACCGGCCCCGCGCCCCTGATTGTCTATCTTCCGAACTACCCCTACGTGTCGTACTCCAACATGTCGACGTTTGACCCCAGCTACGAGGAATCCGTGCGTGATAACACCATCCTCAACGGATACCACGTCGCGACCATGGCCAACAGCACCCGCGACGGTAACTGGTCTACTTGTGTGGGCTGCGCCATCCTGAGCCGATCATTCGAGCGTACCAACACCAAGGTTCCAGACATTTGCAACCAGTGCTTCGACCGATACTGCTGGGACGGCAGCATCAACACCACCAAGCCTGCCGATTACGAACCTCAGGCCTTGCTGGGCGCCGGTACCACTCTCAGCCCTGCCTTCTTCACCAGTCTGTTTGCAGCCGGTCTGACTGTCTTTGCTCTGCTTTAAGGGGCAGACCTGAGCGGGTTGTACATCGGACTTTAGTCTATTGTTGATTTTTGGGTTTATTTTTGGTCGTCGCACATACCTCGTTTGGATTCCCCTGTTTTTGGATATCAGTGTACCAGTATATAGTCATAGGTCAATACCAGGCGATTTTGGATAATTTGAATGGGATCTCTCCCAACAGTAGACATTTCGTTAAGTACGACGGTTTAGAAAAGTCATAATCACAAGAACAAGATCCCGGATAATATTATTGAATGATATTATACGAACAAGGTAAAATAAAATAAAAGTGAAATCACAACGGTCGGTGAGGGCGATCCCCGTGACCGGGTGAGGGGCCGCCATCGCCGGGGCAACGACCAGGTGGCCGCCCAAACAAGCAACAAGAATAAAAGAAACCCAATCCACCAACCGCCTCTCAGCCGCGACCTTGAAATTATTATCTAACCTTGCATATACAGCTTTTGTTTCGACGCCCCTGGGCCTCACAGCAACTGTCATTGTCTACTGCAGTCTCCGCGCAGACTCACAATGACCATTTCGCCCTTCCAGTACTAATTGACCTCCCTTTTCTTCCCTTCCCGACCGCACCGCACCGCACCACATCACACAAACAGCGACAAGGGAACCCGGCAGAAATCCTAGCTACTCGCGGGACGAAACAAAACCGACACACCTTTCAACAACATAGACAGCAACCTTGTTTTCACCATGGCTCGAGCGGCTGTCATTCCGAAGTCGTCGCCCCCTAAACGGACCACGCGCACCACAGCGAAGCGAACGACCACAGCGTCAACGACGACGACAACGACCAGCAAGACCACGAAACCAGCACCCACCAAGTCAGCAACGCGAACGACGACAAAAGGCAAAGCTCCCACATCAGCTACCGAAGCTAGGAAACGGGGCGTGCGAACCGCAGCGGCGTCGAGTAGCCCGGTCGACGATAGCTCGGATGATGGAACCGATGATGAACTTGGAGATCTAGATACCAAGCCGAAGAGCTCTACGACGAGGACTAAGGCGAAATCGTCTGCTCCTACAACTACTGCGGCTGGTCGCGGTAGACGGGCGGCTTCGACTGCCACGCCGGAGATGGAGAGTGACGAGGATGAGGATGAACTTGCTCAGACCGAGGTCCCCAAGAGGCGTGCCGGACGCCCCAAGGCTAGGTCAGCCGAGCCTGCTGAGAAGCCTGCACCTGCGCCGAAGACGAGGGGCAGACCTAAGGGCAGCGGAAAGGCAAACGCGACTGCTGGGAAAAAAAGCACACAGAGGAAGACGCGAACGCGAACACAAACGAGTGTCGAGCCCGAGCCTGAGCCCGAAGTCGAGCAGGCCCCGAAAGAGATCTTCATTACGACGAATTCTTCCAGCATGCGATCGAATATACTGCGTGGTCCGGCCAAGAAGAAGAAGAAGGTCACTTTCCGTGACCCGGACTCAGAAGAGGACATGAGTGAGCCCATCCCTCCCACTGCCGGGCGGAGAAGGGCTGCTACACCGAAGAAGGGTGGGTTTGCAGCCAAGCCTGTTCGTAGCTCTCCTGCGGCTACCGGTCGCGGCCGTAAACCGGCAGCCGCGAAGAAAGGCACCTCGAAGCCTCTCTCGCCCAAGAAAGCAACCCAAGTTGCGAAGTCTATCTCGTCATATGCCAGCTCCGACGGCGAAGAGGACGAATTGAGCGCCGCCAAAAGCCCCGTCAGGATTACTGTCGACTCTCCCACCAAACACGGATCAACAAATACTGGACTCAGCTCCCCGGTAAAACGAATCAATTTTGCTCCCGCCTCGCCTCAGAAGAAAGTCGACGAAAATGGAAAGCCCACTGCTCACTTGCCTATGCCGATGGATTTTAGCGAGTCCTTGTTCATGTCTAGCCCCGCTCATCGCCCTACGCCATCACCTTTCAATTTCACGATGAAGGAGACTCCCAGACGTGGTGGTTTTACTGTGCGGGAAGATATGAAGCCTTCGAATCAGCAGGATTCCACACCGACCAAGAGCTCGCCACTTAAAGCATCGCCTAGGAAAGCCAAACTGGAGACACCGAGACGTGGTAATCTGAACTTCCTCGACGAGAGCAGGCCGCTAGGTCAGCCAAACTTCACCCCCGGCCACGCCTCTCCCCTGAAATCTTCGCCTAAAAAGGGTCTCTTCAGTATCTCGCTTCCCTCGAAATCTGCACCGCCTGTATCATCAACTCCTCTGAAATCTATGAGTCTACTACAGAGTCCTGCAAAGAGGATTGCATCTCCGTTCAAGAGTTCTTTGATGAAAAAGTCGCCTTTAGCTGAAGAGGATGAATTGGATGATGAGGACCCCGAAGATAGCTATTCGCCAACTCAGAGTCCTCCAAAGCCCGTGAATTTCGATGACATGGATGATGACATGGAAACGGAGGATGATGAGCATGTGAATGCTGCTGCATTTGAGGATCCGGAAGAAAGCTTCCCCGCTGAGAATCAAATGCAGAGTCAACCAGAGACAGAAAATTACGCCGAAGCTGAAGCTTCTGAAGCCTCTGACAATGAGCCTGAAGAGCAATCTCAGGAGTACACCTTCGACCACATCGATGATCAATACTCAGCAATCCCTGATGTTCAGGAGGACCCAATGGACCCCACAGAGCTCCAGGCTCAAGAGACTGCTAGCGAACATGATTTTGAAGAAGACAACGTGGACTTGGAAGCCGTGGATGATAATGCCGAAGACGATCTTGAAGACGTTGAATCGCATAGCAACAGCCACCCTGGAGATATCCGGGCAGACTTCAAATACCATGAGGAGAAGCGGGAGAGCCTCGCAAACGGCACCATTGAAGATGTTGACGATGAGGCCGACCTTGTGGAAGAGAAGGTGCATGACACCGAGGAGGATAAGGATGATGTCTCTGAACTAGACCACGGTGAAACCGAACGTCTTGCGGAGCCAGAGCAAACTCAAGAGGACCCGGTCGAAAACACGCCAGAACATTCAATCACCAGAGAGGAGTCTACTTCCACAGGTCGATGCAGCCTGATCGAAGGGCTTGAAGATGTCTTTGTCGACGCGCCGCTTCCTATTGGTCAGATGAATGAAGAACCTGATTCCCTGAGCGGTGATGACATGTTAGAAGCCGGTGGAGAGGAGGCCGATATGGCGGAACCCAACGATGAATACGACGAAGAACTTTACGACGTTGGCGATGAATATGCCTTCGACGATGACGAGGAGACCATTGTGGCATTTGAAATGACTGGACAGCAACAAATGTTCTATGCGCCTGATATTGCCCACGAACAACCGCAAGATACTGCTCCTCGTCAAGTTCAAGATCAGCCTCCACGAAGTCCCGTGGAATCGATGGAGCAACAGATAACCCAAGCGCCTGTTGATGAAAACGAAAATGATCTACAGGAAAGCGCCCCTCGTGAAATCGAAAACCGCCCTTCACCTCCATCCCTACGCAATGTGGAGGGCTACCGCGAGGAGTCAAAGGATGAAACGGATTCGAACGCAGACGATTTGTCTGATTCCGAGCCCGGTGCTGAAGGAAGCATGCATGCCTCCAAGAATGCTAGCCCCCAAGTACCACCTCAGCCGGAGCACCAATCTCCTGCTCCGGCTACCGAAGCACCGCGTAGTAACCGCCCACGCTTCACGCTATTGGCCGATCAACTCAGCGGATGGAGGGCCAGCAGCCCCCAGAAGCCTGAGCCCAAACGCTCAAAACGGAGAGGTGTTTTCTCTCTTGGTGGAGGCCTCAGAAGGTCCAGCGGTGTTCCGCGTGCCTCCCGTCTCTCTGGGCATGTGTCCTATCCGGAAATCACTGCCCGCGAAGACAATATAACCCCCGAATCTTCTCATCAGGAGAACAACGTCGAGGACCGGGACATTGCCTCCCAGACTGATATGATGATGCACGAGTCGGATGCAATCCAAGCAAATGGCCAGGAGGTCCAGCGATCTATCGAACAACCCAAATTTGAGATTTTCAGTGATCCGGAGCCCGAAGCTGTTCATACTGAGGCAGCTAACGAAACGAGCTCCTCCGAACCGTTGTTAGCCTCTTCAAATGAGGAGTTCTCAACGAAGCCTGGATCTCCCGCCCAAGAGGCTTCATTCGAGTACGATGACGACAAAGAAAACGATGATGTCCCTCTTGCTGGGCCGGTGACTCCGATAAAAAACAGGAACAACCAGTTGCAGACCGTGCATACGGTGTCAAAGGTGCCTCTGAAGGGAGAAGGCCAGATTTCTCCCTTGAAAGCATCCCGCAAAAGAGGCCTTTCGATGGGCACCTCGCCTACTCGGTCCTCTACTAGGATCCGCAAGTCTCTGGGTCCTCTCGAACCGGCATTGCTGCGCCCATCCCCCAAGCTGCCCCGTCTTCAGCAAGACACAATCCCCAAGCTGCAACCGAACATGTCCCGACGGAGGAGCTCCATGGCCCAACAGCCCAGAAGTGCCGCTAAACCTTCGCGGACCTCTAGCCCGGCGAAGAGTCCTCGGAAGAGCATCAGCGCAGCCAACCTGGCCCTGCAAGGAGCTGTCGTTTTTGTTGATGTCCATACTACGGAGGGAGAGGATGCTAGCGGTATCTTCATTGAGCTCCTGCAGCAAATGGGGGCTCGATGCGTCAAAACCTGGTCGTGGAACCCTCGCGCCAGTGTTTCGCCGGACGAGGATGCTCAAACCAAAGAAATCCGAGTGGGTATAACCCACGTCGTCTACAAAGATGGAGGAGTGCGAACTCTGGAGAAGGTCAGGCATGCCCGAGGCCTGGTGAAGTGCGTTGGAGTTGGTTGGGTTCTTGAGTAAGTCATCCCCTTCGCTTAGTTGTTTTGAGTCCAAGTACTGACTTAATTCCCAGCTGTGAACGAGAAGGCAAATGGCTCGATGAAGCCCACTACGCAGTCGACAGCTCCATCATCCCCCGTGGCGGCGCCAAACGGAGAAAGAGCATGGAGCCTCGGGCCCTCAGCAACGTCAACGGTACCCTCGTCACGAGCGCCGCCACTGCCAACAGCAGAAAATCCGGCGCCGACTGGAACACCGTGGAAGAGTTCAAGCGTCATACCCCTACTCCCCCGCCCGAGGAGCCTTCCACGCCCACCAACAACCGCCAGAACGACGCCGATATCAACGAGCGCTATTTCCAAACCCCGAAGACGCCCGGCTACGGCTTCAACATCGACAATATCGGAATGTCCCCTGCTACTCCCTACTACCTTTCTCAGCGGAACAAGCTCGTGCAGCAGACCTGTCCTCCGAAACAGCTTCAGCAGGGCCTTTTCGAGAGAGCTGGCCCCGCCGAACAGCCTTCTCAGAAATTGCGCACGAAGCTGGAAGCCGCGAGAAGGAAGAGTTTGGCGTATAAGCCTCGAGTTGGGAGTCCGTTGATTGAGTAATTTGTTTTTGTTTGTTTTTTGTTTGGTCCTTTGTAAATGTGCAGTTCACTTGTGGATCGGTTGGTGTTAGGTATTGGGATCTTTTGCTTTTTGTTTTGATCAGATACATACCCCTTTGCAGAATGATTTTTTTTGTCTCTTATTCTACTTTTACTGTGATATTCTTTCGATTCGTATCTATATTCAACGGATGTTACATTATTTATCTATCCATCAATAAACAAATCATCAATTGCTTCCTTTACTTTTTGCTCATTCTCGTAGGTAAACCCGATGAGATAGATAGTAGATAGCTCCATTCTTTCATTCATTCTTCGCTCATCAACATCAACACATCACTCCCCAACCTAGATGACTTGAGTAAGGAATGAGGAGAAGGAAAAAAGGAAAAGGAAAAGAAACTGAACCGATGATGTTGGTATCACGTGTTTCAATATCAGAATCAGCCCGCCATGTTAAATGCATCCATCTGCCCAGGTTCGCATCCATATCTCGACAATCCCGCAACAAACCCCAACTTTTAGATTCTGTAGAAATTGAACATGCAAGGCCCGAGATCGTTGTTGTAATTGTGTTTTTAATTGTAATCGCAAAGCTCCAAAGTGTAGAAGGTTAGAGGATAAGGAGGGGTAGGAGTTGAGGGCTAGAAGGTTAACCTCGATAGGAAGATAGACGTATCTCGGTAATTTAAGGAGGTGGAAAGGGGGTCGAAGCAAAAGAAATGAAGCGCCAGGGAATGGTTTCAAACAGTCAAAGAACCCCCCAACTCATCCTTCTCATCCATCTCGCGATAGAACCCCGCTACGAGGAACGCCAACTCCAGCGCCTGTTTCTCATTCAGCCGCGGATCACAGAACGTCGTGTACCGTTCACCCAGATCCTCTTCCGTCAGACCGGCCGCGCCACCTACACACTCGGTGACAGCTTCGCCGGTCAACTCGAGATGCATACCGCCAAGGAACGAGCCAGCGGCACGATGGATCTCGAGCGCCTGTTTCAGCTCAGAAAGGATGTCGTGGAAATGGCGCGTCTTGATGCCCGAGGGCGTCGATTGCGTGTTGCCGTGCATCGGGTCGCATTGCCACACGGGGATGTGTCCGGATTGCTGCACCGCGGCAATGTGCGCGGGTAGGTGGGAGGCGATCTTCGAGGCGCCGTAGCGGGAGATGAGGGTTACTTTGCCGATCTCGTGCGTGGGGTTCACGACGTCGAGGAGCTGGATGAGGTCGGTGGGGGTCATGCTGGGGCCGATTTTGATACCGATCGGGTTGGCGATGCCGCGGAAGAATTCGACATGCGCGCCGTCGAGTTGGCGCGTGCGGTCGCCGATCCAGATGAAGTGGGCAGAGGTGGCGTAGTAGGATGCGAGGGGGTGGGGTTGCTGGGGTGGGTGGTTGTTTTGGTCGTTGGTGGTGGTGCTGGGGATGGCGGAGGATGAAGATGAGGGCGGGGTTTTGAGGAGACGGGTCAGTGACTGTTCGTATTCGAGAAGGAGACCCTCGTGGCTGGTGTAGACGTCGACGGTCTCGACACCGCGATCGGTGTCGATTCCCACGGTCTGCATGAACCGCAGGGCGTCTTTGACGCGGTTCACGATGTGCTCGTACTTCTCTTTGATAGACGGCGTGATGACATGGCCGAGTCCCCAGTCCAGCGGGGAGTGAAGATCCGCCAGACCGGAGGATAGAGATGCCCGGAGGTAGTTGAGAGTTGCGGCGGAGTGGAAGTAGGCCGACACCAGTCGCGATGGGTCCGGCTTGCGCGAGTCAGGCGACGCAGGGAAGCCGTTGATATTGTCGCCTCGGAAAGAAGGCATCTCCACGCCGTCGATCACCTCCATAGGGCTAGACCGAGGCCTAGTATCGACATCAGTAGCCATTGCTTGAAAGAAACATATTACTAGAGAACTCACTTGGCGAACTGCCCTGCAATACGTGCAATACGCACAACCGGCCGATTGGCGCCTATTCAATCCAAATCAACAACCCCATCTTCCATCAAACAATTCCACCGCGGAAAAAGGTGGGAAAGAAAAAAGAAACATACCCCAAATCAAAACCAAACTCATCTGCAACAGAAGCTTGACCTTGGCCTCGATCATGTCCTGATTACAGTAATCGAACAGCTCCGCACAATCTCCTATACAATCATCAAGAGCTCAGACGCAAACACAGACCCGGAAAGGGGAAGCTAAGAGAATCGCACGACCCACCTCCTTGGAGCACGAACGCCTTTCCAAGAGCAACCTTCCTCAAACTCTCTTTCAAACTGCTAATCTAACAGTCGCGAAAGTAGCACAGTCACAGTTAGCCGAGCCATGTCCGCACAGACCAGACTAGAGGAACGGGAACTACGTCAGGGCACATACCTCCTGGGTAGTCACCAGGGGCGGCAGCTTGCCCAACTTCGTCAAGGCGGATTGCAGCCCCTGAGCATCCTCGTAGAGGACATCTTGCTTGATGGGCTTGGAAGTCCAGGCTAGAGGCGGTAGCGTCGGGGTTCAGTCAGCGCACTAGATCATAACGTGGCTTTTTTGTTTTGGTCTCATTGCTTCCTGGAGCCATTGATACCAGGGAGGGATTTGTTAGTGACTAACACTCAGGAGTCCAATTGTCCGTGGTCATGGTAATGGTCGTTTAGTGGGGGTGAAAACGCCCAAACGATCGACAGCTAGTAGAGATGTCAAATAAAGTGGAACTTGCAGTTGCAGCACGTTTACTGGCGGGGAGAGGAAGAGTAAGAGAAATAAAGAAAAGAAACCCGAAGGATTGGGGAGGCTAGAGAACACGATGGAAGTGAGCAACCAACACAAGTCCAAGTCCAAAGTAGAGAAGAAAAAAGAAATAAGAAATAAAACCAGAATAACACGAGGTGGTCGAGCTGAAGAAAAGCATCAGCCGGTTATTGACGGCCTGAGTCATCCAGACATTGAACTATTATGTAAGGGGCGGGCCGGGGGTGTTTATCGATAAGAGGCAAACAAACGTCATTCAAGTCATTCAACATTCCTCATCACATCATCCACGCAAGGGCTTTCATCCATCTACCTCATCCGAACTACCTCATCTAGTTACTTACTCTAGTCTAAACCCTACCCGACAAGATTAAATCCCCCCTCTCCTTCCCAGAAACAAGAAAGAAACAGAGTAAGAGAGACAAAATGTCCGACCCCATCCCCTCCGCTCACCCCGACCCGGACGCCGTGGACCAAAAACTCCCCGCGAACGCCGAAGACCGCAAAGCCGCCGCGGCGCTCTCCTCGCTCAACACCAACGGGATTGCTGCCGACTCCGACTCGGCTGCGAAGCCGTCCGCGTCGTCGGCGGAGCAGGAGGCGCTGGGGAAGGCGATGAGTCGACTGGAGATCGCTGCGGGGACCGGAGGCGCGGCGAAACGCGGGGCCGGCGAGGCGCAGAAGAAGGGGACTGCGGGCGAGGTGGTGAAGAAGAAGGCAGTTAAGGTGGCAGCGGAGGATGTGGCGCTTTTGGTATGTGGGATTGCTTAGCTCGGTTTGAGGGGATCGTTAAGAGGTTGATTGATTGATTGACTGATTAACCCGTGACAGGTTGAGGAATTGGAGTTGAATAAAATCAAGGCGACGGAGCTCTTGAAATTACATGACGGGGATGCGAAAAGGGCGATTAAGGCCTTCGTGACACCGGCTGTGGGAGCTTAAAGACCACATCCTGGCCGACTGGAACCCGATAATATGAATAATGGATTGATGAACGCAATGAGACTATATGTAGAATTCTATCAATGCAAAAATGACCCAAGATATCCCTGTCATGAACGTGTCTCGTAACTTGTCGTATATAGTTTCAGCCATCCACAAATCTATCCAATATCCCCCTTCTCTCTCACCGAGTATCCTCCGACTCCTCCGACTCCTCCGTCCGCTCCACCTTCTTCTCAATCCCTTTCCCCTCGTAGATCGACCAAAGTAGCATCCATCCGACCAAAGCTTCAAAGGCGAGAGCCCACCAGATGCCACCGACCAGGTTGTGCTTGAGCCCGAGCCCCAGACCCCAGCCGCCAATCATTGGTCCGAGGGTACGAGCACCGCTCGATATACTCTGGGCAACACCATGAACGGTGCCGAGAACCGTAGGATCTGTGACGCTGTTGTTCACGAGAATGATCGCGGCAGGCAGGGCAAAGGTGCGCGAAATGACCTGCAATCCAACCACTATCGTGAAGGACGGCCACACCAACCATGGGTATCGCGGAATCAGCACCAAGAACGGCATCAGCGCATACGCCACTGGCGAGAACGGCAAGAAAGTGCGGAAGGAGGTAAGGGTCCCCAGCCGGGACTGAATCTGAGGGTATACGAAAATCTGCAGCGGAAGACCAATGACCCCGATGATGGCGGTTGCGAGACCAACTCGGGACGAGGGCAATCCTAAGCCACCGCCGAAATGGAAACATTCCCAGGTCTTTTCCGGAGCACGTGGAGTCGGCAAAAAGGTAAAGGTCATCGAGTTGAAAGCACTGGTGTGGAACGCAAGCAGAAAATGGGCCAGCAATGTAAGTAGCACATTGGGCGTCCAGATCTGACGGAATCCCGGGCGTTTCTGACGAGGCCGGCTACGAGCTCGAACTGGGCTGGAAGGTGCCGATGTGCCGGCCACGCTTCCATCGACGTATAGTGACTCATCATCGGCATGGTTGACCAGTGGACGATAATACCGACCCGGCCTCCGTCGAGACATCGATTTCGCCAACGTGCGACCTAGCTTTCGACCCCAGTCGCTTCGATGACGCGCAAACTCATGCGTCTGTTGGCAAGGATTAGCATCACAAAGGTCACCCCAGCATACCAACGCCACTTACCTCATCCAGTCCAAGAAAAACAGCAATCATCGAAACAAAAATGAAAATCGCACTGAGCACATTAGGCAAAGCAAACGGCCACCGTTCCATCCACCACACTCCATCTTTCCCACCAAGCACAGTGCCAGGGCCAAATAGATGGGGATAACTCTTCAGTGGATCCGCCAGCATACCGCCAAAGATAGGACCGATAATCACACCAACGTTGAAACACATCGGCAACAGCAGGAAGGCCCGAGATTGATACCTAGACAGGACAGTTAGGTCAGTCAGTCGATCAATGCCGGGTATCAGGCGATCTTACTTCTTCTCTTGAATGATCTCCGCAATCATCGTCCTCATCACCCCGACATTACTATTCAAGACACCCCCCATGATCCGGAACACTGCAGCAACGACAAAGGATCTCGAGAACCCAAACCCTATGCACGAAAGACATGTCCCCAACAAGCCGATCAGAAGCACCCTCTTCCGACCCATCCACTCCGCATCAGCTAGCCGACCCCACCACACAGCCGTCAGGAACTGCGCCGCGGTAAAGCTACCCTGCAGGATACCCGCCTGGGCGGAGATGGTAGAATCCGGCAACGAGGGATCGTAGGATTTCAACTGATAGAACATGTACGCCTGCAGGGAGGTCTGGGTGAGCGGCTCCGATAGACGGGTAAAGGTCAGGATGGCGAGTTGACCTTTCTTAGGCAACGAACGCCATGTCACCGGCTTTTCGCTGGCGAGTTCGGAGTCCGTGTCGGTGTGAGTGTCGGAGTTAGCACTGGGGGGTCTGTCGGGGGGTGAGAGGTCGGGAGCCGGCAAGAGAGTACGACTCTCGATGGAATGGCCATCGTAGATGACAGTGTCAATGCTATCACTGTCATCGTCTTTTGGTGACGGGTTGTGCCTGGCGGTATCCGAGGAACCTAGAAGAGCGGAGAAGGGCCGAGTAGAGTAATTGCCCTCGTGAGCGCCGGAGTCTACATGCTGGGTAGACTGAGGCTGGAAGTCATGTCGTCTAGTCGATCCCATCAACAAACGAGTTTTCCGGGCTGTCTGATGATGTAATGAGAATGAGAAGGGAATTGGAAAGGAAAGGGTCGAAAATTGACTATGACTGTGTTTTGAAGAGGCGACAAAGTTTGGTTCGAGCGAAGGCGATCGGTCTGGGGTTTCGCCATCATCGACACTAATCCCGTTTGGGGTGTTATCTTATCGCTGACCCGAGCAGTGCATAAAAGGAATTGTGAACAGATGCTTACACATCAATGTCGCGATGGTGAATTATTCAGTTAATGCAGGATGTATCCAATCCCACTCCACATAACATTCAAGTCAAATAGTGTACACCAATGCAACCAGGCCGCAGAACGCCGTTAGGAAATCAATGAAAGCCGAATAATGAATGAAGGGGTAAAACAAGAAGCCGGTCCTTGCCACGAGCCATGAATGCTCAGGTATTCCATCAATACCACAAAATCAATCTTACGTGAGAAAGGAAAGGAAGACAAGAGAAGGACGTACAAGTCCACAAAACGCATAAAAACAAACAAGGTATCCATAACTAATTACGACGGCTGTCACCACTTCGGCCAGTCATGTCCATGGTGCTCTCGATGCCTTCCCAGGGAAGCTCTTCATCATCATCCGAATCATACTCCGTTGCAACATTCTTGGGAGCAGACTTGTCACTGGTAGCGGTCACCTCGGCCGTTCTCTCCGCGCCGGTGTCGATGCCAATCGATTGCAGGGTCACCTCCATCTCCTGTTCGGTCATTTCTTGTCCATGTTGCTTCTGGCCTTCGAGGACGTCATACAGGGCATAGATCTGGTCGGCCTTCATATCCACATCCTTTAAAAGCTTCTCGATCTTCGCACTCAGCGACTTCCGCTGCCGCTTGCTGAGTGATGCGTCTAGCTTGTTGTATGCTCCTTGGTAGGTTACGAGCTGTATCTTCAGATGTGACAGCTCATCCTCCAGCGCTTTCAATACCGTGGCAAGAGCCGCGGCGGGGACTTGGGCAGGCCGTAGAGTGGGTTCCTCGTTGTAGACAGTAGGTTGCGGCATACGCTCTGACACAGGAACGGGCTTGGGAATCTTCACAGATTCTTCGGTGTGGTCACAGTGATCGCCAGGAATAGACCGCTTGCAAACGGTGCAGTTCTTGCCATTGTGCTGCGTCGCATAATCCAGTGCCCGCTGTGCAGATTCGGGCAACTGTCCAGGGTTTTCCGCAACAAGGTCGGGGCGGCTGAGGGTGATGTCGGGAAGAATGAAGGCAGAGGTCATATCCTGCGAAGGTTGACGTCGTTTCCGAGGCGCCGTCGAGTGATCCGAGTGGCGTCGCGGTCGCTCAATCGGTACGGACAGGTTGCTATCTTCCTCTGCCATACTGACCTTCGAAGTTCCCGTCAAGTCACCCATGGCAGATGCCGGTCTAGAGGGAACCTTCGTTTCTTTGAGGGACGACTTTCTTGGTGCTGCTGACTTCGAAACACTGGCACGAGTAGAATTTTGGGTGTCATTAGGCGCGTCTTCTCTAGATGTGTTCGACTGGCGTCGCTTGCGTGCCAGCCGTTCCTCTTCCAAGGTCTTACGCAACTGAGCGATCTCACGTTCCTGTAGAAAGAGTTAGCATCATTTCACTTGAGACCAAACAGAAAAATGCAGTGAACTTACATCGACGAAACTAAGAAGCGTATCCTGCTCGGTGGCGGAAGACTTCTTGGTGTTGTTGGTAGCCTCATCAGTGGAGTCCACAGGTTCGGTCACGTCCACTTCTTCCACAACGACTCTCTTGACGCGCTGTTTGCCGGTGTTGGGCTGCTTCTTCGAGTGCGACCGCTTTTCGGCTTTCTCGGTCTTCGACTTAGATGAACGTGGCATGTCAAGTGAGAATAGTGCCTCATCTGCGCGCTCCTTTTCGAGACGGGAAATCTCCCGATCAACCTGAGTGGAAACCTTGGCCCGAGAGTCCTCCCGCTTTCCAGCCTTGGATCGAGAACGAGTGCTCTTAGAAGTCACATCCTTGGTCCCTTGAGACCCGCTTACGCTTCTTTGAGTGTCCACTTGGCTATCATCCGAGCTTGCGTCGCTTGCAGCAGTTCGCTCCGATCGGTACGTGTCTTCACGGCTTTTCGAGGCATGCGAGCTGAGCTTCGCCAACTGGGCCGAGAGTTCCGCATTCTCCTGACGAAGGTTCTCATTCTCGCTCTTGAGGTCCTGTGATTCAAGGTATGCCACTCCTAGCTGAGAGACAGCCATGTCGCGCTCCCGGTTCAGTCTTTTGAGGGCGGTTTCCTGCATCTGGGACTTCCGCTCAACAAGATCGAGCTTGTTCTGCAGAGCCATATTGGCTGCATCAAGTTCTGAGATGAGAATGTTAGTAAATTCAGCATGACAGACCATGAACACACTTACTTTGATTCTCGTTGATGAGACGATCCTTTCCATACTCATCCTCTTCGCTATATCTGCTCCTCCCGTGCTTATCCTTACGGGATTTGCCTGATTTCAACGACGCGTTTTCCTGTCTCATGTCCTCAATTCGCTTTTCAGCCTCGGTCTTCGACCTTTCAAGCTCCGAGACCTTGTCCTGAAGCAGTCTCAGCGAGACAAACAGTGCCTTCTCGTCCTCGGGAATCGGCACGGCGTCGAGAGGAATGTGTTCGCGGGTCAAGGATACGTCGGCGGTATCGTGCGGGGGCGAGACAAACCGCGTAGTGCGCGCTCTGTTTTGGCGAGTATAAACCGGGGTACCATCTTCATAGATACCCGAAACCAATTCGGACAGGTTGGGGAGATCCGGCAACAGGAACGATTGCTGGGTAGCGGTGTCACCGGCGGCATTCATCGACGCGTTACGGGAGTTCGAAGCATATTTTCCCTTGCGCAATTCTCTTGCATACGCGTCCTGCGACGCTCTTTCCACGGCGTCGGCAATCTGGTTGGATCCGAATCGCGTCGAGCGTACGGTGCTCGTCACAGCCGGGGGTCGTTCGTCGACGATGAAAGAGCCATCGTACGAGTCACGAGCCTTAGCATGCATGTCGGACAGCGACCGTCGCTGGTCTTTGCGGCTCGACTTCGACGATTGTGGGTCCACATTTTCCTTCTGAGCAGCGAGACTCGCGCGTCTCAGTTGAGCATCTTTTCGGAGGTTTTCGCTAACAGCACGTCGGGGCGTGTTTCGCATCGCAGACTTGGGAGGCGTGTGCGAGGTCGGGTAGTCGAGTCGAATGGCGGGCGAAGAGGACCGCACACTGTTTTCAATGCTCATGTAGGAGTTACGCGAGTCATCGAGACGACGCGCCGGCTTGCTAGGACCGCGTCCAACTTCTAAAGAAATATCATCATCGTCATCTTGGTCGTTGTCCTCCTCTGATGTACCAATCTGCGAAAATTCCGGAAAGAAGCGGTCCAGCATGGAGGAGTTGATGGCGTAGTCTGGCTCTTCCTGGTGAGACTCGTGGTTTTTTCTCGCGTTCGGCTTCATGTCGGGGAGTTGGAGGCTGTCGTCGATTTCTTTGGTAGAGGCGAGCGCCTCGTGCTCGGGGTCGAAGTCTGAACCAAACGACGCGAAACTATTCGCCGTGTGGTCGCGCGACATGGCGAGTTGAAGTGTTTAGGTGGAAGCGCGCGTCGGCCGCGGTGTCCGAGTCTCGATTCGAAAACAGCAATTATAGCTGACACCTGGCAAGGGTTGAATATAATAGTAGTAAATCGAGCAATTAAGCTGTTGTATTCAAGCAGCAATGCAATGGTATAACCCGCCACCGCTTAATGCTCACGGGCGCGGGAGAAATGGGGGAAGAGGGTCTTTCCGTCGGAAATGAGGAGGTTGGGATTGTGAGTTGTTGGTTTGTTTACTTCCCGGGTGGAGCTGCCGCCGGTGCGACCGCCTTTTGGGTCCAGCAGTATCTGTCCGTCCGTAGTGACTTGCATTCCCGGTGGAAACCACATCCACTCGAACTACAAACTCAGGTACGGGAGTAACCTTCTCTAGCTCACTCGCTTCATTCTGTGTCGGGTACTAATATACTCAATAAATACTTCGAAGATAAATCAATCAATCAGGCCTTCCTCTCGCTTTGTACATTGAAGATACCAAGAGGAAAAAAGAAATAAAAAAACAAATTGCTGCCTCCAGAACGCCTTGCTAGCTAATACTCCTTCAAACCCCAGCAGAACACGGGGAGGGGGGAAATAAATAGAAAATGCCACAGATGCAAGATAATTAAGAAAGGAAAGAAGTATGCAAGTGCTCAAAGATCGTGAGAATCATGCTCGTTAAACTGAAAGACGCACGCTCTCGAGACAGGAATGTCAAGAATGCAACGACCACAGCATAGCTTCTTGATATAGAATGGGCACACTGAAGTAACAATTTACAGTCGGGAGAGATTGAAATCTCATGTAGATTGGGTTTGTTGGTTGTTGGAAGGATTTTCCGAATGATTCGGTTCACCAGGGAGGTGGTTCGTAGGGGTGGTAAGGGTGTTGTTGACGGGGCTGGCAACGTCTATATGGATGGTCGGCAGGGGTGTTAATTCCCGTAACCGAGGAGGCTGTTCCCCGCGGTCGAGAATTGGGCTCTCGTAAGGGGGTGCTTCCCCCCAGTCCAAGTGGTCGTAGTCCGGAGGTGGAATGCTGAGGCCTCCGACATCTCCGTCCTGGCCTGTCGAATGGGTCGAGTGGGTGGAATGGGCGTGAGATTCAGGTCGAGTCAAGGTGTCCGTTTCCGAAAAATCGGACTGCATCGAGGAGTACGATTCGCCTCGAGAGTGGACGCTGGTCAGAATCGACCCGGACGACCGATCAGGCCCATCCGTGTTGGTCGAAGCGGCATTGGACAACAAGGGATGGCGATCTGAATCAGGCGACCTAGCGCGCACACGCGACCCGTCATGACGAACCTGACCCAGCTCTGCGTACGAGACGCTGGAGATCCTTCGGTCACGACCGCGAGACTGGTGTTCCGCCGTACTTAATGCCGCTGCCAAATTGGTATTGCTGCTGTTGGCAGAGGAGCGGCTTTCGGCGCGGGCGCGACTCTGAAGGCGAAGTTGTTCCAGACGGATATAATCTCCCCGGGCACGGGCATCGCGACGCTCTTGACGCCGCGCTTCACGGTCGGCTATCTCCTGTCGCCGCTGCTGACGAACCTGGTACAGGGACTCCATCATCTCTTCTCTGCGATTCTCCTCTTCCTCCGCGGTCTCCGGGAACTCCATGACCACGTCCATACCACCGCGCTCTCCTTCTCGGGCAATGATTTGCTCCTCCGGCTTCGGACTCGACGAGTATGCGGGCAGTGTAATCACGGAGCGGACCGACGTGTCGCGACGAACGTTACTGTTGGTGTTCATCTCGGATCCTCCACCAGAGGCGTTGTTGCCGATCCCACTCCCACTCCCTTCTCGGGCGTGGGAGGTCCCATCGGGGACCTGGCCATACGCAATGCCGACCGGCCACCGATTCCATTTGTCCTTCATGTACTTTCCGGGAATGTATTTCGGGCGACAATTCATTCGGCGAAGGGCGCGCAAGGTGAAGTACATCATGAGAATAAATGCCAAAACGAACACAATGCATGCGGCACACTAAATCCAAGAAGATACTGTACGTCAGTAACTTGCCATTCCAAGCAGGACGCCATACCCCGCACCAGAGGGAGGGGAGGAACTGACGATGATGAAGATGTTGTTCTTGCCGCCGTTGCTTTGCTTATCCTTGTGGTCCCCATTCTCACGGGCCAAAAGCCGCCCGGGTTGAGGTGGAATGAACATGTTCCGTGACGATCGATGATCCCGGGCAAGGCAGCAAAGAAGAAGCCCGTGAGTATCTTACTCCGAGACCATGCGTCGAGCACGAGGGTATGGGGCAATCGACAAAGATCCAGGGGGTAAGAGTGATGATCAAGTCAGCTATGCATATACCCCGGGAGCAACAAAGAAGATCAACCGGGGGGAGAGGGAGGAAGAGGGAAAGAGAGCAGCTGCGGATAGGACGGATAAGGTGAAGTGGACAGAGGCGGAGGGGAGGCTCGGCGATGATCAGTCTGACATGAGCTGCCGACGGGGGCCTTCGCAGGAGTCGAGCACCGGTGGCGATGTATATATAGCGCGATCAATGGTTGGACGGAATAGGAGGTCGAAGCTGGAGGCTGACAACTTCCATGGCCCGTGGGAGGAGCAGCGCTGTTTTTATCGGGAGAAGACGAAGATTCGATGAAAAGAAGAAGAAAGGAAAAAAAAAAAAAAAAAAAAAAAGACAGAAAGACGGGGAAATCGACGGGTTGATGGAGAAGATGAAATCACAGCCAACGTAAGTACTTATTCTCAGGGCCTCTTAGGCCGAGCGAAAAAGCGGAGTTGGGAGTGTTTTTGTGGCTGGAAAAGGCTGGGCTGGAGTTGCGTTGCTGTCACTGGCGATCTGGATGATGATGGTGATGATCTCTCAGGATTCGGCAATAATATTAACTAATAGTCAATTAATCTCGAGGGAAGATTAGGGACAGGAGACGAGATTAATTGTTTAATTGCCCTCGGCCTGAAACCGCGAAGTGCTATCGGTATCTGCTTTAAATTTAATGAATCTTTAATTTCTCGCCCAGCGTTTCTGCCTTCTCCACTTGCTGCCATTTTTAGATTGATTATTCAGAATTATACTCGATGAATATTATTGCATATTAACCGCCGCCCTCCTCGGTCCTTCCAATCTCGCGCTCTGGTCCGGCTCGTGCTGGTTGCCGCGACCCTTGGATCCGCTGCGAAAGGTTTTCAACGAATCCACCGGAGAGCTTGACTGCGAGGAAGCCACATTGTATGCCACATCGTATTCCGTGCTCTCCTATACACCCAGCCACATTTGCGGCCACTGCTGCGACTTCCGTTCCGCAGAATATATAACTCTGTCACCGAGAACCAGAAACCACTCCTTTCAACCATCTCGACTCAATAGAAGCCATAGCCTTGCCCCCATGGAGTTAACACCCGGAGTTAAGTCCCAGGTTACGCAGTAGCCCTGTAAACCCCGAAACCCTTTGAAGATGGCGGTTAAAAAGAAGCGCTCCTGGCTTTTTCTCTTCATTGCTCCATTTTCGTTCGAATAATACTAATAAAAATCGCCTCGGCGCCTAATCTCATTGATCTGCGCTGCTAACCCTTGGCTTTTCTATTTCTGTCCGCCAACGTCATGTCCTGTCCCGACTGCTTCTCCGGCCATATCCATGCTGGCTCTCCGCAGGGGAATGTGACCTCACTGCACGGGTTGGACGTTTACGTCGCGGAGCCATCTGCTGGGTCCGATGCCGTTCGGGGAATTATTATCATCGTCCCCGATGCCTTTGGGTGGGAGTTTGTGAACAATCGCATCTTGGCGGATCATTATGCCGAGAAGGGCAAGTATAGGGTTTATCTGCCGGATTTCATGAATGGTAAATAGCAGGCATGCATTCCATACACCTCGCCAACTTCGCACCATTTTGAGTAGTTGGTCACGGTACTGGAGAGAATACAAAATGACTCACGTGCATATGCAGGACGACCGGCGCCCATCTGGCTGATCGACACTATGCGCTCGCTGATGAAACCCAAAAACACCCTGTTTGACTGGGTGACCAAACCGTGAGTCCAAGTTGTAGATATTTTGTCTTCTTCTACGGACCCAGCCTGCCGGGTCTTTATAAACACCAACGCCGACTGATGGTGATGGTATAGATACCATGCCGTGTGGGCCGCCTCGGCCTTCATTCGATTCCTTTACTACAACAAGTTCAGCGCGTCCTGGCCTGTGGTACGACCGTTCTTCGCCGCGGTCCGTCAGAACGAAGGCGCCCGGCTCCCCATCGCGGCGGCGGGCTTTTGCTGGGGCGGAAAGCACACGGTACATCTGGCGCACGGGGCCGAGGTGGATGGCAAGCCCCTGATCAATGCCGGGTTCACGGGCCATCCGAGTCTCTTGGAGCTTCCCGGCGAGATCGAGAAGATCAAGGTCCCGACGAGTTTTGCCATGGGTGAGCTGGATAATGCGGTCAAGATGCCGCAGATCATGCAGATCAAGGATATCGTAGAGACTCGGAACAGCGTCGGGGAGGTGAAGGTCTACTACGGCGCTGGTCACGGGTTCTGCGTGCGAGCGGACACGGCGTTGGAGAATGCGGATAAGCAGGCAGTCGAGGCGGAGGACCAGGCGCTGGACTGGTTTAATCGGCACTTTGCGGACGTTTCGTTTGAGTGAACGTGATTCTTTACGTTACTGCACGAAATACCTATCCATGTTCTCATTGACTGGAGCTATGTATGACGCTTATTATCCTATGAATTGGCATCACTTGTGTTTTTTTGACCTTCTACCAATGCCTTCAGACTCCCTCCGGCCCGGGCGACGAGGGCCTGGTACGATCCCGTTTCCATGACGCGGCCCTGCTCGAGAACGACGATATTGTCCGCAATCTCCATCATCTCCCTTGCATGCGTGATTATGATAACGGTTAGCCCTAGTTGGGCCGCGACCAGCCGCTGCACGGTCTCTCGGATCACCGCTGCACTGGCCGGATCGAGACTGGACGTGGCCTCGTCAAGGATCAAGACCTGTGGTCGACGAATGAGCGCCCGTGCAATGACCACCCGTTGCGCCTGTCCCCCGGAAAGACCGAGTCCGCCGTCCCCGATGACGGTGGAATAATCTTGAGGGAGCGACAAAATGAAATCGTCGATACCGGCGGCCTTGGCTGCAGCGCGTACATTACGCAGAGTGTTAAGCGGGGAACGTTCATCCAACCCGTAGCTGATATTAGCTTCAATAGTTCCCGGAAATAGGGTTGGTTGCTGTGAAACGACTGCGACCAAGGAACGAAGAGTCGGTGTGTGCAGACGGCGAATGTCAATGCCTCCAAGTGAGATCGTTGGCCTGTTGTCGCTGGACAGCGGAACCTCGTAGAGGGATAGTAGCAGCGACGTAATGGTCGATTTCCCTGACCCCGATCGTCCGACGATGGCCGTGCATGAACCCCCGGGGAAGGCGATCGATACCTGTCTCAGAACAAGAGCATCCGATCGCGAGGGATAGTGGAAATCTAAGTTGTATATTTTCACGGGACCAGCCCGGGCAAGGCCAATGTCTCCGTAGTACTCGTGGGATTTCCCCTCAGGAAGATTTGCAAGGCGTAGGAGTCGAGACCCCATTGTTCGTGAAGTACTTATTTGCGGAACTGCTCAAGTGTCAATCGGTAGCTCCCAAAGCGAGGAACGGACGTGGAACTTACTCCACGAAAAAACAGTGCCCGCGTAGCCAATGCTGAAAAGAAGCATGGAGAACACGGTCAGAATACTATTGACTGTGAACCCTTCGTATGAGACCAAAACCGCGCCGTAGAAGAAGATCAAAGCTACAAATCTTGTCAGTATCTTCCGAGACCCCAAGAGAAACACCACAAACCGCTGACGAATATGATAGTGACTTCGACCAGCCCAAATAGAATCCCAGTGTAGACTGCTTTTCTGAGGCCAACAGTCACGCACTTCGCGGCCGCATTTAAATGTTTCCGATGAAAAAAGGACTCCAGAGTCAAGGCCCGCACTGTCCGAATCTCCGAGAACATCTCGATGAGCACTTCTGACGCGAGGTTCTTGGCCTCGGTACATCTCTTTTCCCACAGTCCACTCGTGCCATTGAACCCCTTCGTGATAGCATATATGATGGGTGCACAGGCCAGTGCAACAACTGTAAGCTTCCAGCAAACGACAACGCTCCATACGACGGCCATAATGCTGACCGCACCGGCAACCAGAACGAAGCACCCGAAGCAACCGACGATATTGCGCATCTCTTCTCCATCCATGGTGAGATTTGCCGTCAGCTGAGAGGGACTGTGTCCTTCTTCATCAAACCACTTCTTAGGTTGGTCTAGCACACGTCGAAAGCCCCTTTTTCTCAGACAGTCAACCCAGGCCTGGCCACATATCTCTAAGAAATAGTGCATAAAGAACGAGATAATTCCGTCGCCCAGTGCAACACCTAGCACAGCTAACGCCCACTTGATGGAGCTGGATTTTGAGTTGTAGAATGTCTGCAGAAGCTGGGATAGGAAAAAGGAAAATAGAGGAGTCGTAGAGGCATGTCCCAAAGTGCATAAACATCCAATAAGCAAAAGGAACCGCTGTTTTCTCGTCAGCGTTGGCACAATTGTCAGCATTATTCGGGTGAGCGATGCGGCGTTCTGTTGTTTTCTATGGCACATCATCGAGCTTGTCGGTGATTGGGCTTGAGGTGTTGCCTCAATCGGTGTTGGAGGATAGTCGTTAACATTAGAAACATGGGAGTATCTGGCCTTGTTGGTGCTACATGATTGCATATCATCAAGCTCATACGCTGACATGTCAATTGTGCTGGCTGTGTCTTTGACACCAAGACTGTATCGGACCGTGAGAGGGAGATCCCAAGGGGAACCTAACGCATGTGACATACTCGATCGAGAATGTCTCTTTCTGCCATCTATGCCCACGCTCGAACGTCGTATTGCGGAATAGGGTCCAGTTGTTTCAAACTTGTGATTAACAAGAGCCCTGTCTTCCTGAGGAACCAAAGTATCTGCAGAAGCGCGGTCTTTGTGGCCATCTGGGAACAACTGTTCGTTCTCGGGAATTTTGCTTAGCTGGTATCTGTATCCAGCCTGAACAACCGACCCTTTATCAAGGATGTAGACAAATTCATTCTCCCGGATATGCGTAAGGTCGTGGGTAATGATGATGGTCGTTTTCCCTTTCCGCCATCTTCGAATGGCCTTCATCACTTCGACACGATTCGTGTGGTCTAGCGCACTTGTGGGCTCGTCTAAGATTAATATCGGGGTATCTCTCAACCTAGACCGAGCAATTGCCACCCTTTGTCTCTGGCCACCACTGAGAAAGTTCCCCCCTGGGCCGGCCAGGGTGTCGATCCCATGGGGTAGGCTGTCGATGACACTCTGTAGCATTGCCAGATTGATACTGTCTTTGAGATCATCTTTTTTGATGTCATTGTAATCACGGCGCCCGAATGCGATATTCATGAAGATGGACTCGTTGAATAAGACACTCCGTTGGTCAACCAGTGTGATGTTGTTTCGGATCCAATTGATATCCAGGTTCTGTATGGGAGTACCATCGATCCGAATTTCTCCGGATGTCGGTAGATAGAACCGCATAAGAAGCTGTCCCAGTGTGCTTTTACCAGATCCACTTTCCCCAATAACGAACGTTGTATCTCCAGCCGGGAAGAAGAACCCGACGGAGTTTAGAATTGGCCGATCAGATTGAGAAGAGTAAGTGAAGTTAAGCTACACCGACACATTAAAGTTAGCTCAAAGCTGTTATATACTTCATGTGCGTCCGAGACTTACCTCGTTCACCTCAATATTCCCCTCGCAATAATGCGGATAGGATCTACCTTTCACCTCCTCCGTAGAATGAGGTGCGTTTTGAAATTCTATGGTCTTTTTCAGTGCGGTCGCCGCGACTACTCCCTTTTCTATCACGATGACCTGCGGAAGTGCTAGTTCCATAGACTGGGCTGCCGCCAAACAGGCCCAGAAGGTTCGCAACACTTCTCCGGATGAAATTTTCCCAGAAGCCACCAGGTTGCTGCCGTACCAAAACCCTTGAACGAACATGCTGAAGGTCATTAAGCGAATTGCTGCGATTTGCAAAGCGTTAAGGCGTGCTTGCTTGAGATAGTGGGACGCAGCTTGATCAACTCTCTTTACAAAGTTCTGGTGCTCGAAATTCTGTCCGTTGAAGCACTTCACGGCATCTATTGAGTTGGTAGCGTTGGTAACAACTTTCGAAGCCCCCGTCAGCTCGGCTTGTTGTTGCTGGATTCGAGGTTCCATCCTGGAGGAGAGGAATGAGATGATACCAGTAAATATCGGAATTCCGGCTAGGGTAACGAGAGAAAGGTTCCAGGAGGTATAAAAAGCTAGACCCAGGGATATAAGGGCTCGAAAGGAATATTGCAATACTAGTCCTAGGGGTTGCGAGGTTGCCATCTGCAACTCATGTAGCTGACTATGGAATAATTTTAACACAAGAACCAAACCGAATAAGGGCGGGTGCATGGATTCTTACGATTGCAAAGTAGACAGAAATGCCTTTGCACCGACCTCCTGATTCTCAAACCATTCCTGATCTCTTCGTAGTAAGCCTTCGAAGAGCTCCCTCCGAGCTTCTGCAACCTGTAACTCCCCCAAGGCAACAAAAAAGGTGAAATAGATCCCATTGCAGAACCATCCGATGACACCGAGGATTACCAGTTCGATGCAACCCTTTGTTGTTTTTTGAATCAGGTCCTGGCTGGAAATTTCACCTCCTCCAAGCGAAGTAAAAGCATCGAATATTTGACCGAGAAAGATAGCGAACACTGGAATCACGAGACTTGCGGCCACGGTCATTAGAAGAGCCAAGCTCATGAGGGGGATGTGCTTTTTCGCGGCAAAATTGAAAAGAGCTGCCCAGCGAGGCTTTCGGCGCAAGCGATGTACAGAATCCCTGATGAATGCAGCCATGGTAAGAAGTGACGGGCATGCGAAGACAATCACTTCTTTCAAAGATCCGTGTAAAAGATGGGACTCATGGCTAGTTGGAATGAAGTGGGGTAAGAGTCTGGGAGAAGATATGTCAAGAAAAGCTGGAGGAACTAAGAACGAATACAAAGAAACAGAGGAAACAAGGCTGGAGCCATCATGGTACACAAGAGGGGTCGAAATACTCTGTCAAGACGATCATCCTTGTTTGGGGATCCAGAAGCGGTAATATTGAAGCGATGTAAGCAGAGAGCATTGTTCTCCGATCAGCCACGAAGATCCACGCGCCTCTCTATTCACCATTGTATTCTATTTTTGTCAACATCCACAGGCTGGATTGTGTGATAGTGGGTAGTAGTATGTGTGTATGTACAAAAGATATATCTCCGGGATAATTCCAATGGTTCCGCGCGTCGAGGGAAAATTTCTAAACTGCTGTCAATGTTGGTTGAGCACCGCAAGGTTGCCGGGGCGCACGGGAAGGTTCCGAAGAGCAGATATTCCCATTGTACTGCGTTCGAAGACGAACCCTAGAGCCGCAGCAGACCGACCTTTGCGCGCGCTCTATCCACAAAGTCCTGTCAACTGCAGTCCCACTTGGCCCAGAGAATGTGAAGGATCAGGGATTTGGTGATCAGCTTTATTTCTGCGCTTTCTCGTAGACCCAATCGTTCAGACCGGCACGGTTCCTAGCAGATGTTAGAGTTTTATCGTCACTTATACAAGTCGAAATGAAGTCTCACCGGGCAATCTCAACGGCATAGAATTGCATGCGCATGGCTACATTCCGCTCCGTTAGCTAAATCTTTATGATGACACAGAAGGACTAGTCGCGGGCGCGCAACTCACCAAAGATCGTAGTCTCCTGCTCATATTCATGTTTGGGGTTGGACCGCAGCATGGTTCCGAAGTTGAAGTCGTTGATCTTGCCCTCGTACTGGTTGATCCAGTTTCTCCACTTCTCCTTGCCTGCCTTGCTTTTCATTTCGTCCTCGTTGATCGTCTCGGCCGGGTTGAAATCGGGGAACTCCTTCATGAAACTCTCGTAGATCTCGTCGTCCATCTTGGTCAACCGAAGCTGCGAACCCTTAACCTTCTCGAGGATCGACCAGTACGTCATCAAGTGCTCAACGGCTGTAATAGGTGAGTATTAGGAGGATATCGGAACGCGTCTATGTGCGACATACCCTTGACGGCGAACTGCTTCTCCATCTACATATCGAATAAATAGGGTCAGTTTCGCCGATACCGAAAGTCGCGAAATTCGCAAGAGGGACTGCCTGCAGAACTTACATCCTCAAAGTTCTCCGCCGCCTCCGGGTCAAAAGGCTTCGACATTTTGGTGAGTATGACTGGTAATTACCAAATAAATCAAAGAAAAGAGGTGTAGATATGGATGAAGGGTGTGCACGTCTGAAAGCAACGACTTGTGGAAGAGTTGTTCGGTCGCGAATATTGAGTTGCCCCGCGATTATTTTTTTTGTCGGGCGGAGATTTTTCGCCCCGCCGAACTTCTGTACGTCATCCGCCGCGCCGGTTCCTTAGCCTTCTAGATGGGACCATTTAGATCTATGCCTGCTCGAATAGATTGATAATACGAAGAAATCGCAGAAAGTTTAATGGGTATCAGTGAGAGCACATCATTCAAGGTGCCTTTCGTTCCAGATGTCAATTCCTTAAAATAGAGTTGACTATCAAAGAGGAAACCGGGCCTTAATACCGACACTCCCAGTCTTTAGTTTCTAGTAGATGTTCATATACATTACCCAAAATGAGACTAATATTTCCAGCCCAGTTTGATTATATACCTATCAAATTAAAAAGTGCGTATTATTGGAAATGAATCATTCAAATAGTTTAAACAGGGCTTTTCCAACCATTATGAGGCATAGACAAAGCCCAGGAAGGGTGGTCATCTAATCACTATCTGAGTCCGACAGTTCTTGCAGTCTCCCTTCATGTAAAGCTTGCGTAACTGGATTCTCAACGTTAAGGATACCGTTGGCCTTGGCCCTGTTGAGCTGTTAGCAATTGAAAGCTGTCATAGGGCAGCCAGAAAAAAAAATAAAAAACATACCTTTCAAATAGAACGAACAATCTTTCTGCTTCTCGTTCCTTCTCCTCCTTCGTCATGGGCGGGCCCGTATCCTGCTTTTCTGCATCCCACCTCTGTCCAGTGATGGGGTTGAGTGCCGGATCGAATGCATCTTCAGCGGCAAATGCTTCCCCTGCTGTCTGTGGGATTTCCATGCCGCGAGATGCCAGCAGACCTGCCGCAAATCCATACCCGATGTTTTTAGTAAGGTTTTCGGCATTCTTTCCAGAAAGCGTGAACATGAGCTCGCAAATAGCAGTTTTCAAATTGGCGTAGGGAGCGGTAGAGAGCTTGAGCAATTTGGATGAGAGTGTATCGGATTGTCCGATAGGCCGGCTCCGATCGCTTTCCTCAGGCAAGAGTAGCCATTCCATATATTTACGGGGTCCGTCCGGTGCAAGGTCGTAGATGGTGATCAAGGAGTGGAGGAGTGGGATGGCCTTGGTTTCGAGGTCACTAGGGCTGTATAGAGATGTTGCTTGGTCCAGGATGTTGATCAGTTTGTCAACGTTGCAGTTTTGGTTGAAAGTCGGAAACAAAGGACTGCTCTCAAAAGGTTTGCCCTTCTTGTTCTCCAGGTCGAGAGTTGACAGACAGTTGAGGAGGTAGCCGAGTAGACCGTCCAAGGGGTTTGGAGGGATGTCTATACGGCTGATGGTCTTGAAGATGTAGGGAATTGAAGGGGTGAAGGCCGCAGCAAGGTCCGGATACAGCTTTGAAACATTGAAAATGAGCTTCAAGGTGTCGATTAGAGCCAGCTCATCCATTTGCGAGAGATGCTTTTTTCCGGATTTGGGAAACTGCTTGGAATGACGGAAGATTTGCTGCAGAGGTTTTGTCAGCGGGATGATAGCTGGTATATCTAGAAGGAAACTTACATAATTGACATTATCTCCCAGAGAATGATTGTTTATGAGTTTCTCAAAGTCCATTGTAGTGTCATAGGTGGAGAGAAACAGTATGCGGCTGGTTACCATTTCATCTTCAGATGACTCGGTCTTAGAGAGACGGGTCAGCTTATGAAGAGCATTCAACACATGGATAAATCTTCTGAGTTACCTTGAGCATCTCTGCAAGTTTACCACCGTGACCCGTATCGACAAAAAGTTGCCGCATGTTTGGATCTAACAGCAGCGCATTTGCGACGCAGCGCAGCGCAGCGCGCCGTACATCTACAGTCTCACCGTCAACCCCATACTTGGCCAAGACCTCCATCCCCTGCACCCTGTCAGCGAGGAGTAGAATCACAATAATTGCGAGTAGCCATTTTACCTTTTTTGAATATATAGCGCCGGCATTATCCGGATTAGTGCCGTGGAGTCTCAACTGCAAAAGTACTTGCACCCGATCTGTGTGGTACATGGGTTAGACAAAGAAACGGAATCAAGGCGACTTTGGTGGCTTACGAGAAGAGGTGAGGGACTTGTCCTTCAAGTCCTTTTCGAGCAGGCCGAAGAGCTCCGTTACTTGTTGCAGCTTCTCTGTACCCAAAGTAATGAATGGTTAATACGACATCGGGCAAACTATGTCAGACTGGCTGGGGCTGGGCGCATACCGGAGCCTTGAAGTGCCCGGACCTCCATGTTGGCGTTCTGTTCGCTCGCCCCCTGCTTGGAGGACCGAGTTAAAAACCGGCGTCTACTGCGTTGGGTTAGAGCCGAGTGATCGTTATTCAGGGAGGGAACTCACAGAGCGCCGGTAGCAACGAGCCTGTGGTTATCCAGAGGGAAGAGACGGTGGTGAGAGCGGCGTTGGAGAGCAGATAACACAAGGCGTAATGGCCACTACCAAAGTGCTTTGTATGCAGAGCAGAATTTTCAGTGAAGGCTAGCAGGGAAGCCACGGGCCAGTAAAGGGGAGTCCCGGCGCGAAGAAGGATGTTGTTGTTTTTGTTAGAAGAAGCTATTGTTGGATGGAGCGATGAATAGGCGGGCCAAACCCCACCAGAGCTCAATAATACTAAAAGATGCCGTCGATTTCCGGGGATGGCATTGCTTGACCCATTTGCAGGAAATAGAGGAGAGAGGGAGAGGTTGGTGGATACAGTTGATAGATTTCCAGCCCTCACGTAAACCTCTTTGCTTTCTTTTGTTCTTCCTGACTTTCTGGCAAACGAGAAGGTTTTCATTTCAGGGGAGGAACCCTGGAAGATCTGGCCGTGTTCTTGCCTGAGGCACCCATCTCCAGCCAGACCTCGCTGCCTTGAGGCCTGAGGCATCAGTCGCGCCACAGCCACTTTACGCGTGCCTCAGCCACAGGCGCGTCCTTCGTGAGGGCTTGGCGCGGCCCCCCCAGGATTCTATCGACCATCTGCCTGCGGTCTATCCGCCGTCTCGACACCCGGCCTCCTACAATTTTTGTCCCGATCACGGTTCTTGCTTGGGCGGTGGATACTGTGGTCTGAGTGCATCATCGATTGGCACCGCGATGTTCCTGACCCCCTCTCACCTTCAATCCGCTCCTTTTTACTCCTCGATTCTATGAAATATGGTGGACGTCTTCGGTCCTTTGTCTGCTCGTCCGCCTACTCCACCAAGGACGTCGTCCCGTGCCCTGCCTGAAAAAGATCGAACGGAGGATTCCCCGGTCGTCGCGCAAACGCCTGGCCTTTCTCCGTTCGCAACTAATGCATCTAACGGTGTTCCGTCTAGTCGACAGTCAAAGCGTGTGAATTTCTCGCCATGGACGAAATACATCAAGCCTCCCTCCTTTGCCAATACGATTGCGAAGCCCAAATCCGATCTCAAAGCTCTGCCGCCCTCAAATGAATGCAAGCCTTCCAAGTCGATCCTGAAGGCGACAAACTCTCCGGCCCCCGTTAATTCGCCGAAAGTCACGTCCCATACCCCCGAATCCTTCGTCATGCTTTTGAAGTCCATGACGTCGCAGCTGGCCGGAGAGTCGGCCAGTTCCCGGCTCGATGCATACATGCAGTTATTTGGTGCGTTGCGGACGTACGATGGACTTCCGGGACAACAAGAGGTGGCGGAGTACTTAGGTTTGATCACGCAGTTCATCCAGCGAGATATCAGCAGGACTACTGAGAACATGGGACCTCTTGATACAAACCTAGTGATCCAGGCTTTGAAGCTCTCCGCAGCGTTGGTGTGGCAGACCGATATCTCCGCGCAATTGTCGGACGAATTCAAGAACTTTCTCATCGAACATTCCATCGATACTCTTCATAATAGCCAAGTGCCAAAATCGGTTCTGACACATCACATGTCGATCCTGTCGACGCAGAATTTCAGCACGAAGATCATGACCAATGCTCGCCTCTCACGACTACTTACAGTCCTGCACGACCTCACGCATCGAGTGAACGGTGGCTCCATTGTTTCGCAGCGCCTGAGTATCTACCAGCGGATTCTTAACCAAGCGAAATCTACGTTCGTTTCACAATCATTGTTATGGATGGAACATCTGATATTTGGCCTACTGCATCCTATCAAGGATATCAGAATCAAGGCTATCTCGTTGGGCTTCCAGGTGTCGATAATATTTGGCCCAAATCCCTCGCTATCCAAATGCATTCAAGACATCTTTGATCGTTCTTTGGACAAAGGAAGAAGGCTAGTCACTGAAATATGCGAGCGAATGATACGGATGGTGGCCAATTCCGACAGCGGTATCCATGTTCCTCAAGTTTGGAGTGTTGTCATCTTGCTCTTAAGGAATAAACGTCTGAATGTCGATCATTGGGACCACTTTAAGGAATGGGTCCTTGTGCTCCAAAAATGCTTCAATTGCAGCGACTCTTCTATCAAGGCGCAGGCTATCGTCGCATGGAATCGTTTCGTCCTAGTTGTCAGTCCGGATGAGACGACAAATCGCTCGTTGTTGCGAATGCTGAGCAAGCCGATATTGTCACAATTTGAACGAAAGAAGCAGGACAAGACCGGATCGCAGCCCAGTCAACTGGTGATGTGCAGCTATTACAACCTTTTGTATTACGCTTTTCGGCCGTCTGCGTCGTTTCAACTGCTTGACATCGTCTGGGAAGAGTACATTGCTGCCCCTTCATCGAAAACGTTTGCTTCGAGCCCTGCACTGAGTGATAGACTTGCGCACATTCTTTCAAACATGCTCTGGAGCCCCCAAAATAAAGTTTGGTCTGAGAACAAGGTCAATGAAAGCAACAAGCTTGAACCGGAAGAGCTGCCTACTCTCGATTGCAGGTGGCTAAGGTTAAGAATTACGTTGGTGCTGAAGGTCTTTGAAAACATACTCAAAATATCTCTATGGACTGAGAATATCGAGCAATCGAACATCGCTATCGCCTGGGTTCGTCTTTCGAAAGCCCTGTCGAATGCCTCTAGCAAAGAGATCACACCGTCCTCAGAATCGATGCAAACCGTAGCTCATGTCCTTGGTCTTCTTCAGCGCCTTTGGAAAGCGGGTCCTTCTTCAATTAATGCCGTTGAGAAAGAATCCATGGACGCGTTCTTTGAACGATTCCAGTTCTTATCGAGAACGATGATTTTCTCCCTAGGGAATATTCCATTCACAGAGAAGCTATTATTGAAGACTGCAGATGCCACGTTTCAAGCAGCCAATACTCCTACACATCGTCACTCGCACGCCAACTCCAACCTGGACAGTCCTGTTCTGCATTTTCTTCGGCTGATAAGTGACGTGTCTGGAATTTCAGAGCCAAGCCCAGCCTATCTGCGCCTAGTCAATTCAACACTTGAAGCCGCTTGTAATGGAAGAACCTCTAGAAGTTCTCGCCTAGAGCTCCTCCGACAGTGCGCCGATTTGCACTCAAATGAAGCAGACATACAATTTGGTGTTCATTCTTTCGCACAGATTGTCTGGAAGTCGGTAGCACATCTTGCTGCTGATTCGCTATGCTCCTACCCACTTGAGACAGCCCGTGAACGTGATGGATCTGTTTCGCGCGACTACGAGAATGCTGTCAGAATCCTCTCTTCGGGTCTAAAGTTTCCTGACGTCTCCCAAGTGTGGGACGAGCTCCTTGATGCCTTCGTTCGTGTCATACGGACCGAGAAAGGCGATCGTGAGATTGCTACTATGGTAGTGGAGCCTCTGGCCGAGTGTCTGATGACTGTTGGCGTTCGCGATGGATACCTGGCTTCAGCATCCCTCTTCAAGCATTCTTTGCCTATGACATACGGTCAAAGCATAGACGGCAAAGGCCCAGAAGATGTCTCTCACCTTTCTGCGCCTGAAAACTTGTTCGTTCCCAGAAAGCTGGTTGAACTTGTGGACAGCACACTTCAAAAGTCTTATCAAGAATTCGATGCTGCGGACACTAACGGCATTGCGGACTTTATTGAGTCCTTGACGTCCTTCTTGGGCTCTGGTCTCATAAATTTCCGCTCCAAGGTTCTCGAAAGCCTTCAACAGCCGCTAGCTGTGTGGCTGAAGGATGAAACACAAAAGCTAAATGTTGAGAGCGGAGTGGAAAGCAGGGTTCTTACTGCTGTAAGTGTACGACGCAAGGGGGTTTGTCCAACCGCTAACCTAGGATCAGGGCCGAGCTTTGTCGTCAGCTGTTCTCAACATTTTACAGGCATCAACACCCCATGACTCTCCATGCCTACAAAGATTCGAAAGTATTATATGCGCAGGGTTAGAGTCGTCGCATATGTCCGTAGCAAAGAAGTTCCTTGAATTCTGGAAGTCCTTGTTTGGTGCGCAACTATCCACCCCTTGCCCAGAAGCTATCACTCTTGCCGTGCATAGGTTGGAAACCCAGGTAAGTTTTGTTCAAGTCCAATTCAATCTGGTTCCCACTCTAAGATATCTCAGGCCGATACCCACGCAAGCTCCTCAGATCCACAAGCCGCGGAAAATCGACGTGCAGACATGTCAGAAAAGTCCCATATATCATTTATTTTGGATGATTCAAACGGCCCCTCTTCTACATTCAACTCATCGCCTGTTACGAGAGAAATTGCGCCCGAGGATCACTCAAAAGAAGCTCAAGACGGCCCACTGCCGGCCAATGATGATACATCACTTGAGTCCAACGGTGTCGAGGCTCCAGTCGCTTTCCAACCCGTCGCGGAGAATTCTGAGAAGCGTAGTGAGGTGTTCTCGATGATTGAGAATCTTCGATCATCATCGCCGCCAACCAATACGCCGAGGGAGCTTGGGTTTATGACTCCTCCACACTTGCGCAATCTACGCAACACGGATCGAGACACTGAAACCCCACAAACACCTACTTTACCTGCCATTGCTGTGGACAACGACGAAAGCTTTCTTGGTTCATCGCCTACTCCTGGCACCAGAGACCGTACTCAAACCAGTGGGTCGACACTCCGTACCTCGTTGGTAGCTCCAGGTGTGCCCTCTGAGATGGACATCGATCCTCCATCATCTCCACCGGAGATCCGATCCCGGAGTCCGAACTCGCGGAGCAAATCAACTCCTTTGGAAGGCTCGGCTGTCCGGGACAGGGCAGCTAAAAACAGAAGGAAGAAACAGCGAAGGAGAGAAAGAAGATCCAAGGCGTCTAGAGCATCTTCTCCCGTTACACAACCTGATACCCCGGCAACGCCTAAGGATGCCGGTGAAACAGAAGTTGCGGCCCAAGCAGAGAGACCTCTTAGCAGCCGCACCCGTTCTTCTACAGGCAAAATGCCCGAAGACACAATGGCTGAGGTATCATCGGCAGGAATATGCCAAGACCCGGAGCATTCGGCGCAAGTTCAACCTACTTCTAATAACCCTGGCATCATCCTAGAAAATATTTCCCGTCAAGAAAACACCCAAGTCAAAACTAGAAACAACCACAATAAGGAAACACGCAGCGAGAACCGCGACATTCCAGACTCGTCCAGTGACGATATGGAAACACAGATTGCGTCTCAACTCGAACAAGATCTTGAGTTTGCAGTCGTCGACGAGGCTGATGAGCAGGCAAGCAAACCTCCGGTTACACGCAAGAGAAAGCGTGAAGCTCGTGAAGCGACTTTCTCAACGCCCTCCAACCAAGAAAAACGACGATCGTCGAGACTATCGGGTACGAAGGAGCGCCCTGTCGTTGAGGATAAAGAACCAAATAGCACTTGGTCCAAGAGGTCGATGGCGGTCAGCCAAATCGAGATAACTGCCTCGTCGCCAGCTGAGGGGGGTCCACAAAAGCGAAGACGCCACTCCAAGGGATCTGCTGATAACGAAGAAGTCGCATTGGCTATCCCACAGCAAAAATCATCCAACACTACAGACAAGAACGCAGACACCTTGGAATCTTTGACCCAGAAGCGGAGGTCGAACCGCCTCAGTGGTCATATAGCACCGACACCCGTTGAGGAAACACCGGTTGCGAAGAAACCTTCACCTCGATCATCTCGTTCCGTGCGCAAGCAGAACACGCAACCCAAGGATACCACGTCCAAGGCATCTCAAGCGGAATCCCCAGCTGAGAAGACCAAACCCAACACGAAGGTCGCGGAGAAGGAGAAACGTAAACCGCAGGAAAACCCATCTGATGACCTCGAGAGCAACGAAATTCCCGAATCCTCCGAATCGCGGATCAACAACGTCAACAACAACACAGAAGAATTCGCCACCACACAACCAAGCGAACCCGCTCCGCAGACCGAGCAACAAGACCTACCCCCACCCTCACTCCCAACACAAGAAGACACTCAGATGAGCGACACTGTCGTCGCCGTCCCGTCCACTGATAAGACCCCGAAGTCGAAGTCCGGAAAATCCAAAGCCAAGCAAAAGTCAAAGTCAACAGAACCCCCACAACTACCTGCACCGGAGACCACGAATGCTCCTACCGACGGCGAGATCATTCCCGCGTTGCAGCAGATCCTAGACAAGGTCAAGGCGTCCGCGCTGGATCGAAACGCGCTCAAGCAGATTGATGACATGTTATTTGACATCCGAGTGGAGACGCACGAGGCATTGAGGCGGCATACCGGTTGATATTTTTGATTGCATAGCGAAGGCGTTATTTCTGTTTTCTTATTATCCATCTCATTCGTTATCCTCTTTTGCCTCCATCTGTTCTTCTTGAAAATTGTTTCTACCTTTTTAACTCATTTCCCTTTTGTCTTCTGTGCCCTTTATTTGCATACTTGTTATCCTGATTGATTTTGTTGCTTTGGGTTCGTTGACTTTCTACTTATAAAAAGGAGGGACAGTTGACCTCCATGCAGATGGCTCGTTTTACTTTTTGCTTTTCTTTTTCCGTTTTCTCTTACCCAAGTGACTCGGGAAATAACAGGGGGAAAAAGCCAGGGATAGTTTCATGTTTGGTATCTGTAAATACATATGCTTACACTAGGAAATAGTTTTTAGAATATAGTCAACCCGGTTCTTTCATATACTGTTAGTTTATGTTCATAACGTAGAGTTGCAGAAGAAGTAAACTTATGTATACATTTCGTACTCGATATCTCCTAATTATATACTTTCTGCAATGTTTAAAACTCCGATCAACTACCATAATTGAAATGAGCACCACACACCACTAAGTAGTAGATGATAAATCTAATCTAACCCCATCCCAGTACCCACCTCAGCTCAGCCCAACCCAACCAAACCTCAGCAAGTAGTACCTACTTGGAGACTAGGGTAGAGCAGAGCAGAGCAAAGAGCAGAGTCTCCAACGCCCAACAACAACAACAACAACAACAACAACAACAAAGGGGATGCGATTACAATAGATCGAAACTCCAGCCCGGCCTGGTTTAGATAACAATATTGAGCCAGCGTCTCCACTTGGGCATCGCGGCGACACGTTGGCGTTCGGCATGGATCTCGGGCCAGTCAACTTCGCGACGACCGGAATCGATGTCGATCTGGCTGGTACGGAGCCAGCCCTGCCTCTTCCAGATGAAACCGATGAACCAGAAGAAGATGACCACGGGGAGGGCGAGGTAGGTCTGGAAGAACCCTTCTGCGTCGTTGATACCACCGCCTGGTGGGCAGATGGCGACGTAGAACTGGGGAGGCGAGGAATGGTTAGCGGTTGACTGAGGGTGAACGGCGAAGGGAGGGAAAGAGGGAAGCAAGGAGGCGGGGGAGGGAAGGGAATTATGAGTTGAAGCTTACCTGAGCGATCAAGACGAGAATGTTCAGGCTAAGTCCAATATAGGAGCCGTAGACGCCACCAACGGCCTGGAACGGGATCTCATCTATTGTGCGGCCGTTGTATTTCCAGGCATTGCGGAAGCGGATGTGTGCCAGACAGATAGAACCCCAGGTGAAGAGGGCGGCGAGACCGGAAAGAGCCTGGAGCCAGGCGAAGATAACGTCACCCTTAGCGTCGAGGTTGACATACCCAAGGCCACCGAAGGTGATCAAGGTGATCACCGACACGAGAGGCCGGCCGGAGCGGTCAATGTATGTGAAGATCTTGGGAGCGTATCCTTGCTCGGCGAGGGCAGTCAGGGTTCGAGAGCCACCATAGACACCGGATACACCAATGGAAAGCACCGAGATGAGAATGACGACGTTCATGAAACTGTCGTAGCCTTTGAGGCCAGCGTCGGCGGCGATGAGGACGAAGGGGGATGCGTTGACATCGATCAGGCCACCTGCGCCCAGGAGTCGTTGGTCGTCGGAGGAGACGAGGAGACCGACAAACGTGAGACCGAGGATGTAGAAGCTATGAGACACTTCAAGGTTAATAGGTCTATAACATGAAGAAGCACGGGGAAGGGGGGAGAGTTTGAGCCATACAGGGTAATACGCCAGAAGACCTGCTTTACAGCGCCAGGAAGAGCCTTCGCCGGATTCTTAGCCTCGGCAGCTGCAAGACCAACCAGTTCAGTTCCGTTGAAGGAGAAAGCGGCCGTGACGAAGACAGAGCAGAAGCCCCGGAAGCCGTTTCGGAAAGCCCCAGGGCTGTACCAGGTCCGCGCTCCCCAGTATTCGCTGTAGATGCCGCGAGAGGGTCCACCGCCACAAACCAGGATGAGAGCAATGAACATGAAGACGACAATCGCGCCAAGTTTTAAAATGGAAGACCAGAATTCCTCTTCAGCATATCCGAGTGAACCAAAGATGTTCACGGCGATAATCGCAACGAGAAAAACGGTAATCCATACACCGACACTCACGTCAACCTGCCAGTAACCAATTGTTAAACCAGCTACCGTGAGTTCCAAAGGAACGACGACGGCCCATTGAAAGACGTAGTTCCACCCCATCGCGAAGCCCCATGACGGATCAATGAATCGAGTTGAGTAAGTGTAGAAACCACCGGAAACAGGGTACATAACAGCCAATTCTCCAAGTGCATAGACTGCGTGGACTGTGTTAGATTCTATGCGCCACAAGGGAAGGGGGGAGGGTGCTGTTGAACTCACCGACATTGAACATCATAACACCAATAATCAAGAAATCGAGGAAGAGCGTCGCTGGGCCCTAAACCCATGTCAGTCTCGGAAATCCACTGCATGTCGCCAGAGCTCACTCCAGTCCGAAGCGCACTACCCGAACCAACGAAGAAACCGGCACCAATAGAGCCACCGATCGCAATCATATGCATATGGCGGGATTTCATGTTCCGATTTAACTCAGAAATGCCGAAATTCCCCTTTCGGCGCTTGAAGGAGTTGAGATTCAAGCCATTGCGCGTCCAGAAATCAAGCTGCTCCGGATCATCCACGGTCCCAACATTGTAATTGTCCTGGGTGTAGGGAGGAAGAGAGGCTTCGGCTTTGCTGACGTCCACATCTTTTGCCTCAAGGGCAGGTTTCGACTCCATCCTTGCGAGCACCACAAGAAAAGGACCGTCCGAATCGGGTGGTGTGAGAAAAGGGTACACGGAAAAAGGGCCAAGCGCTCAGAGACAGAAGGGGGTGGGATCTACGAGAACATCGCGCGGGCCCCCGTTACTTCTTATTGTCGGCCCAGTTTGCCATCGAGATAACAGCCTTGGCCTGTCGACCTCTCAAGCCCCCTGCACCTGCAGGCCCTCACCCCAGCTGGAGCGAGCTCGGAACCAATGTCCTGGTTGAACCCTTTTCGGGCCACTAAGGCTCATGGCACCTGGGCTGAGGTTACAGTGGGATCGCTTGGGTCGGGCCCCGACGGCTTTCATCCAGGATGTGGAATGAGCAGCGAGGGCAGTAATTGGCAGGTGGTATGCCGTTGCGCCACGCGATTCTGGGGGAGGACGAAGCAGAGTGGTCAGCCGGCGTCAGATGCAGGAGATTGTTAGGGTTGGATGGCTGCTTGGCGCCGCCCGCGGGAGTCTTGGCACTTCTGGGCCGTTGCCCCTTTAGGCCTTTCTCCGCCGGCATTTAGCGCCTTCATGGAATTCCCCGTCAGACGCGCCATGACTCGCTGGGTATCGTCGGCCTTGGTTCTGGCTTTGGGAGGCGTCGCATGGGCGAGAACTCGTGTTCCTCGGGGCTGTTGACTCCGCGACGACGGATGAGGTGATCGTGGTAGCCTGGAACCTGGTCGGCCGGAATGTGACAGAGCAAGACCACTTAATATGCTTTAATTAAGTGGCTTAGCCCCTTGGGTCTGGGGAAAGATGTCCCGTGGCCGTATCCACTCCGAGAGATAACCAGCATTAACATCTGGCATGACTAACGGCTAGAAGGGGATAAGATTGCCTCGCTGAGACCTTGGGATGCCTGAGAGGCGATCCACGGCACCAATCACGCCTGGGCTTGGTTTCCCAGCTGGTGTCTCTGGTCTCACGAGCAGCTGCTTTGCCATTTTGCGGGGTTTGCTCTTGGCCCGTCGAGACGGAGCTAGCCCTCGTATACGCACCCGTTCATCAGGAGACGTTTCTTTATCCACCCGAGTCCCACCCCGTCGAGCAAGGGAATCAAGTTCCCATAGAGTTTAATTCGGATGCAGTGATGTAGCTCTGCCCTCTCTTGTATGCTGAATTTCTAGTCCAATGACATCCGACAGAGTCGACGGGCATGGGTGACCAGTCGGACGATTCCTCTTCGGCAGCTCCTCTCGGTTACCTTGCGCCTCTATGCGTTGCTGTGTTTTTTGTCTTTATTTGGTATGTCGAATCTCGTTCGGTCTCTCTGTGGTCTATTGGTAGTTTTACTGACATTGGCGTTTTCCTTACGAAGGGCAGCGATCGGCACCAGACGTATCTTCTTTCGCCCTCCCGAACGAGCTGGAGTCCCTTTTGACCTGGAAAATCGACCTCTTTACGTGCGCTCGCCGCCTATCGCAAGACACGATGTCGATAAGCTATTTCCTCTGATCGAGTACAGTGTTTGGTGGGAAGAGCGGAATCGCCAACTTGCCACCACGCATACTAGTCAATCCAGCGCTTTGAGCTCTCCGACAGAAGATGGAAGAGACAAAGAGTGCACAGTCGCTCTTGGTGGAGATCACACAATCTCTTCGTCAGGCAATAAATCCGACGATATTTCTCACAGCCCGAAGCAGGGCGGTGATGGCGGACCGACAAATGCGCCGCTTTATACTGGTGAAACCCACTCATTGTGTGCCATTTGCATGGAAGGGTTCAACGCCGTCGACCGTATCAGGCCCCTGACTTGCGGACACATCTTTCACTCGGGGTGCGTGGATCCATGGCTCACCAAGCGTCAGGCTTGCTGTCCCTTGTGCAAGATGAGTTTCGCTAGATACAGAATGCCCACAGAGGCAGGAACACATGCCGGCCCATTCATGGTCCCTGTACTGCCTGCAATAGCATTGGTCAGAACCTCCATACTTCCCAATCGAGTTTGAACTGCACTCTTTGCAGGTCATAGGGCTATCAGCCTATCAGCAGTCAGCGATAACCAGAGCGGAGCGCCGACAGATTCGCTGGTGCCAAGATCAGGCCAAGAGTGGAATTCAACCTTGTGGCCCGGTTTTTGACATCTTGTAATCCCAGAACTGATGCCAAGGAGTCGTATCTTTATCTGTGAGTTGTCATAGGATCACGCAATCCACATGAAGGCGATTGAACGATTGATGACAAGGTTCAAATCGCTGTCCGTGTTCTTTTTCCAAGGGCGAAGAGTTATTTGCTAACCGTGATCTGTCCAGTTTCAAGGTCATAGGGTGTGATTTGCCCCTCGACTCTTTGGCGGGATTCATCGTCCTCCCATTCCTGTGGCATCTCCCTTGGTTCGTGACTGTCATTTGGGATTGTTGTTGAGCACATTTCAATGCTTTCTTCATTACTCTTCTGTGGCCCGTCGGCAAGTCCCGTGTTTTTTTCTGGAGATTCATGCCTGCTGATAGGTAGACCTCGAAAATTTGATACCGGTGGTTTTGATTGCAGGCCGATCAATCTTGTGGCCGCTGACCGCGAAGCATCTGATGTTTCCTTGTTCGGTCGAGTTTCCTGCTGTCGGTATTGTCTGGTGCTACTTTGAAAGGCACTGAAGCCAAATGTCCGGCGAAGCAAAGGCCACAAGCATACCAGGTTCGCAACGTACATTGCTGTACTGGCTTCACGAATGTACCATATTTGGTAGATTGTAGTCAAGGGTGACGCAAAGTTGAATGCTTTGTTGAGAATTGCAGCAACAACGGTAAACAGACCGAGACTCATGATACAGAACAGGACGATTTTCTTTCTCATCCTCAACTGGGCTTTCATGAGAAGTGGAATTGGAACAGCTAGCATTGCCGCATCTGAAGAAATGTTGAAAACCGCTTGGGTAATGGAGTAGTGTTGGTAGGTGGCGCACTGCATGTTTTGCACAGGCATGGCCCAGTATTGAGAGAATGGACGGCAGTACACGGCATAATATGTGATCATGATTGTAACGAAGCCGATGGCTACGTACGCAGCGATGATCTGAACATAGATATGCAACCGGAGGTTCTTCGTCAGCCGCCAGAACAAGGTCAACATGCAGGTCTTAACTCCCCATGTGGATAACAACATGCACTGCTCGACGCCAACCACGACCTTGCTGCCAAATATCCGATCCTTGACTTCCTGAGGGTTTGCTAGAACTCGATTGTAGCCCGCCGGGTCTAAAAGATTGGTCTCATAATGCGCTGCTAGTTGAATAAGGACGAGCATACCCGTGTAAATCACCTTTGGTAACATCAAATAGTTAATACAGGCTCATATTTGAGAGGCACAAGGCAGTGAACTCACGACAGTTGCAGTCATGACATAGTCATCGACTGGTTTAACCTCATATTAGCTCAAACTCAACTAGGGCATACGTAGGGGACATGCAACATACAGCCTAAGCGTTTGATGGACCCATTTGCAATACTCCGCGATATACTTTCCTCAGATGAGCTCCAGGTGATCATTTAACAGCGTGGGCAGCGTTAGAGACGTACATTCGGGCAATGTAGAGGGCGATTGCGATGCTCCCGAATACAATAGCTTCCCTCATAATTCGCTGCGGAGTTGGGGATACCTTTCCCATTTTGCAAGAGGGGAAGCCCTAAGGGTATTCAAGATTTGTCGCGAATAATCCATGCAAGCCGATATGGAATTTCTTCAGAATTGTGTTAAGTGCAAAGTTTTGTACTGGATTGGAGATGGACAGAATTGCCCAAAAACATAAGGGCGGTCTGAGAAATCACCATGCTCACTCCTTAGTACGCATGTACCAGTGGGCCATTGCCTCTTGTTATAGACGAACAGGATAGGAAGATTCAGACTTAAGCGCTCGTGGTTCCCAATTCCTCTTAGTGGAGAAGAGAAGCAAGGGGGTCTCAAAGGCATAAAGTGCGTAGTGCAAGGGAGACTGCCGCAGCGACTCGCCGGACGTTAAAGCTGAGCCTTAGTCGCTGTGAAAAATCCTTCTGAGCACTATTGGTCATGACCTTGTGCAAAAGCTCAACGAATCAGATTGACAAAGTATCATTGTAATGGGCTTCGGGTGAGTGGTGACCGAGTCACTGAAGCTACGCGATTTGGATTCTGACATTGCATTAGATTGAACAGAAGTCCGCACCAGAGCACAGTCTCTGGATGCCATCCGTGGATCCTTTCAGGCAACTAGGGCTGCTTGGCAAAGGCCTACTTCTGCATTTGCATGGCATTCTTGCCTCGGAAGGGCGGCTTAAGGGAACGCATCCCTTCCGGACACAATCCCTGGCATTCCGTTTTCTCTGCTAAATGCTGACAGCTGCTGGTTCTAGCTTTCTGCTTGGTCGCGTAGTTCGGACTTTGTTGGATTCAATCTCGATACGAGTCGATGCTGCACAGAGAGCATGACTGTCGGTTCCAATGTGCCTGCCTGTAGACAAATAGGGCCGCGGTGTATGCTGTCGAGTCCGCCAAACTACAGGCAAGTTAGAATGATGCCCTATTACCGTTCGAGTTTTGTCAGTAGCTGTGGGCTTGTTGAGCTTAGGCTTATGCAGTTGAACTGGTTAATACTAAGGAGCAAGCAGAAATAAGGCTCATGTTTCCTTACCCGAAATACACAGTCAAATGGATTCATTTCCAATGACCAAGCCCTGTCGCCTATATAGCATCACACGTGGGCACCACGTAGTGATGTTTAGATGTCATAGGTCCATCCAACATCAATCGCTCCTTCAATGCTGTGCTGGTAATTATCCAACAAGAATTTGAACTCATCCATGCGTAGGAGATGTTATTGTGGGCAAGATAAGATGAAGGAGTGGAACATATGCGAAGAGAAGAGCGGCGTAAGAGAAAGAAAACAAAGAGAGAAGTCACACCCACATCGAGCACTTGTCTTCCCTTTCAGGATACCTTAACTCATCGATCCTACAACAACCACGGATTACTCCACGGAAATGGTGTTCTCAATCAGACTGAGGTCTTCTTGGTAACGGCCTACTTTTCCTGCTTGCTGGCATCCCTTGCATATCAGGTCAACAGAATCCTTTCTTTTTCAGCTTATCGACCACTCGGGTCTTTTTTCTCTATAACTCACCTATGAAGTTCTTAGATATTGGCCACGCATTGAAAATGCATGTGGCTATCATACGGGCACCTATAGCCCTTGCATGAAGACCAACACACCGGTGTATCCCATAAATTGTGGGATTTACGCCAGGACGGTAATTGTAGCTTTGACATAGCCTCTATCCAGCTGCAGACACGAAGGTCAATCCAGATGGACAGCACAAGACTGGAAGCAGCCCTCGGTCACAAACAAGAACTGGTTCGAAATTTCGATCTCTTCAGTCTGACCAGCCTGGGTATCACAATCGCGAAGTGAGTTATGGATACCACATTTTCCAGACCCAGTGCTTTACCATAGAAATACTACATAGCTCCTGGGCCGCAACCGGGGGTACAATCGTCACAGCTTTACAGAATGGCAGGCCCATGGCAGTCCTGTATGGCCTCATCGTCTTTAGTGTTTTCTACACTTTCATATCGGCCTCTTTGTCGGAACTAGCATCTTCAATGCCCTCAGCTGGCGGCGTATACCACTGGTCATCTGCGTTGAGCAGAAAACACGGTCCCATTGCAGGTTTCTTTACTGGGTACCTCAGTGCGTGTGCCTGGCTCTTCTCGGCCTGCTCTATAAGCTCCATAATGGGAAACGAACTGGTGGCCATGTATATGTTGAGACATCCCGCCACAAACTGGCAGTCCTGGCAAGTTTTCGTTGCTTTTCAGCTACTCAATTGGATATGCTGTGGGATAGTATGTGTGGGAAATCGCTTTATTCCACTAATCAATCGGATCGCCTGCGTTCTTTCAATGTGCGGGCTCGTTGTCACCGTCAATGTTCTCGCCATCCTACCCAAAAAGCATGCCAGCAACGCTGACGTCTGGACGAACTTCCACAACAACACCGGCGGCTGGTCGGACGGCATCTGTTTCATAACAGGACTCCTGAACGCTGCTTTTTCCGTCGGAGTCCCCGACTGCATCAGTCACCTATCCGAAGAGGGTCGAGTCCATCCATCCCTATCCCAACCAACCAACCCCTTCTCCCTCATCAAAGCTAGCTCCCCAGATCTAGTCCCCTCCCGGAGCTCCGAGTACCCCAAGGCATCATGCTCCAGAAGCTCACATCCTTCTGCACCGCATTAATCTACCTAATCGCCCTATTCTACTCGATCCAAGACCTCGACGCCGTCTTCCGCACAGACTTCACGCTCTTCCCAACCGCCGAGATCTACAAACAAGCCACATTCTCCGACGAGGCCGCCATCGGCCTAATAGCCGTGCTCTTCCTCGCCACATTCCCAACCCTCATCGGCATCTTCGTCACAGGCGGACGCATGTGGTGGAGTCTGGCCCAGGACAACGCGACCCCATTCTCGAACTATTTCAGCCACGTCCACCCCCGGCTGAACTGTCCCGTCCGCGCAACCCTCGCCATGGGCTCCATCGTCAGCTGTCTGGGCTGTATCTACATGGGCAGCAGCACGGCATTCCAGGCCCTGATATCCTCGTATATCGTGCTGAGTAGTTTATCCTATCTCGGGGCTATTCTTCCTCATATGTTAACTCGCCGGGAGGGGATTGTGTTGGGTCCGTTTTATCTAGGGAAGAGGGTGGGCTTTGTGGTTAATGTCGTGTCGGTGGGGTATATTCTGGTCACGGTGGTGTTTTTCTGTTTCCCGCTTGTGCGGCCGGTTACGGTGCAGAATATGAACTATACCAGTGTGATTACGGTGGGGGTTGTTGGTTTGACAGCTGTTTGGTGGGTTTGGAGAGGGAGGCGTGATTATAAGGGGCCGGGGTATAGTTTTGAAGAGGCGCGGAGGTTGACGATGGGGCGGACGCAGAGTGGGAAAGAGGAAGGGGGCTAGGTATCTATCTACTAGCTAAGCAGGTATCCCTCTATACTTGAGGACAAAAATGACACATCTAAGAAGCCAGCTTTATATGTTCTATTCTTTTCTCCATTTACGCCACACACAAGTCTTACATATCAATCAAGCAAAAGGCAAGGCACTGGAAGGGTGGATAAACAGATAGATATCTTCAAGTCATCAATCAATCAGTCCATCATCGTGATCATCAAAGAATCAAACAAATTATTCACGCAAAAAGGTCCGTACGTAAGAAACAGAGCACGCCAGAACCCTCACACTCACTCAGTATTTACAACCGCGGCCGAATCGTCTGCCCACCAACCCAAGAATCACCCGCCTCCAGAGTCTGCCATCCAGCCACCGACCCGGCCTCAACGCAAATCATGTTCTTGTATGCCTCGTCGGGTCCGAAATCCGCGATCCCCTTGGCCTTCTCGATCCACGGGTTCCAGACCACCACGTCACTGAGCCCTTCCCGGGTGATCGAGTACAGGGGCTTGTTGTCGGATGCGGACGACACGACGATGGGGAGCTGCGGGTCGAGGGATTGGTACACGCGGTCAGTTTCTTGCGTGATGGCGATGGCGGGCGAGGATTCGGTGTTCACGGATGCGTTCTGAGTCTTGTCGACGTAGGTTTTGGATTCGAGGCCTTGGACGCGGATTTGGGAGATGTCCTGTTATTGGTGCATTTTGGTTAGCTATGTGGCTCTTCATTGCGCTGTCTTTCATCTCTGCTCCCATAAGAAAAGGCGGGAATTCATGAATCCATGCCAAAAGAACTCCATTGAAAGGCATAAACAGGTATCGACCGAGAAATAACAAAAAAAAGAACTCACCTCCACAGCAAAATACGTGTGCATCAACACCTGGAAGTCGAAGTTCTGCGTCCCCTTGTTCTGCACCTGCAAAGACGTCTCCAGTCCCTCCTTCGTCAGGGTAACGCTGTACACGAGCCCGAAGTCATATGCCCAGGCGCTCTGGAACTCGGGGCTCAGCATGGGTCGCGAGAGGCCGAAATCCAACTTCACGGCATCGTCGCGGTCCGTGCCCAGCGACTCGGACGACTTTCCAAGAAATTCCCAGTTCGAGTTCCGCGCGAAGCCGTGTTGCGGGAGGGACGAGGTGGCGTGGTTGGGAGGAGGAGGACCGAAGACCTATACAGAAGAGAATAGAGGTGTTTGTTAGTGGGACTATTTATTGACTTGAGGTAGAGTGAGGCGGATTGGGCTGTGTTGGTTTGGTTGTAGGGACCCTGAGGGATGGGAATGGCGTTGATGTACCGGAAAAACGACGGGAATGCCACCGCGGATGGGCTTGGATCCGTCCAAATGAGCTTTCTCGCTCACGAACAGCTGCTCCTTCCCGTTGGCGAGCTTCCAGGATGTAACAGTTGCGCCGTAGAGGTAGACCGTGACGGATTCGCCGGTGGGGAGGGATGCGATGACTGTATTGTCACTGATGTTAACGGTGGGCTGGGGCAAGGATGCGCCGACGCCGATGGCGGCGGGCTTGTTGGAACGGTCCATTTTCGATTAGATGAGAGATAGTGTGTAGGGAGAATTGATATGGAGAGAGGGAAAGAAGGAGGAAAGAAGGAAAGAGAGGTGAAAGAAAGAATGGAAGCGCCGGCGATGCGGGGGTCGCCGCCGACAAACAGAGCGGGGCTCTCTGAAGTCACTTCTCGATGGGATCCACTCCGGCCATACTTCGGTCTCGGAGTCCTCTACGGAGTATTAACCAAGGGTTAACCGGTTCGGGTATTACTGTCTTAGACATTCAATCTGGCATATGTAGCAAAATGGATACTCCAGCAATGTCATCCCAAATGGACACCAGGTAGCTATGCATAGACCCCGCCAGTTCCTCGTATGGAAAACGCAGTCAAAATACGCCCATGAAAATAAACAATCAACAGTCATCACGCTCATAAGCAGGATAAACAATATCGCCAACCATGATGGTCTTAGATGCAGGGACATCGAGATCATCATCTGTCATAGAAAGAGATGCATGTCTCCCAAAATTGATCTTATTGTTAATCTTCCTCGTTTTCGCCAATGTCGAAAAGGGTTCGTCACCTCGCACACCGGAGTACTGATCAATACAGACCATTTGGCATCGTTGACAGGATCCCAAAACATCAAACTGAACGTTTTCAGACCCAACGCTGAACGATTCCCATTGATCTTCGATGTAAGGTCGTTCCGCATTGGCTCGTTGGGAGAGATTCTCAGCAACCACAATGTTAGCGCGGAAGACATCGGCAGCCACCGCTTTATTAGAGCCAGTATTACTAGGCTGGTTGGTGTTCTTGGGCTTGGGTTTGGATTTGATCGTTTCGTTGAGTCGATTGACAGACGAGCGAGAGATGAATAGGATAGGGCTTTCGTTAGATAACAGGATCCGATTCTGTCCAGGAACTGGCGTCGATATGTCTTGTGGAAATGACCCCGGCATAGTCGATTCGTCCATATAATGGGGCTTTCTAACCTTAGAGGCAGCATACCTCGTCGAGGTCTGAGGTGGAAATCGCGCAAGTGAGCACGGAACGCCTAAGAAGTCTGAGAAGAAAGAGGAGACGGTTGGAGATGTATAGGCTTGGACGATAACCTGGTCTCCACATACAGTAGAAGACTTGGCTGCGTTTTGACATAGCGAAGCCCTCACCAAGTCAGTGCCTCCGCGATTAAGTGGGATTTCCAGAGAAGAGTTCCTTGTTCCTCTCCCGCATGAAATCCTCAGGACACCTCGTGCAAGATCAACAAACGGTTGGATGAGCGCCATCCTAGGGTACCTTTTCTGGTTGAGAGCGGTTCCGGTACCCTGGTGGATCAAACACCATTCACGATCCCACGCTAATCCCTCCTGTGTAATCTCCCATCGTTGGCCATCAGGGACTTTAAAGGCTCCGCAGCTCTTGATAGGGTATACTGAGAGGCTTTCAATATAGAATCCAGGTGACTGAGATACTGTAGGATCGATTGGGGGTAGCAAAGAGCATGTATTGGGCGATCGTTCCACATAAAACTCTTCCACAAAATCCACGAAATTCTCAATATCCTTAAGATTGGTCATCGCACCGAGACTGGCCCTCAGAATACCGGTCGGACGGCCATCCACCAGGTCATTGTCATCTCCACAGCGCAGCCCATTGGAATAATGGCGAATCATATCGGGTCCAGTCCAACCAAGGCTACCTGCTGTGCCTCCTGGGTTGCATAAAGTTCCCGATCTGATCTGGATCTTCTTGACATTTGCAAGTCTTTCGACCTCGGATTTGCCGATCCAAGCGCACTGGCTACTGCGTATATTGAACGCAAGGATCGGGCCTTGCGTCGATGCGTCTTCAAAGTCCACATCTGAGTCCATGTAGAAATCGAAAACTTTCGCCCCGTTGAAATGTATCAGAGCCGTTAGTCGTTCGTACAACGTCTTGGCCAGAAACCGCGTATGAGAAGAGATATTCTCCATCGAACCGAAGAGACGAGTATGTGTATTCAATGCGGAATCAAGTGCAATGATGCTGTGAAATGGAAGCGTCCCATCCTCCAATCGTTCGTGAATCAAGGTCTTTTTTGCATGCCATTGCATACCCTGAGTCAAGACCAAGTCTACCGTTCCACCGCCGAAAAACCTTCGTTTGTCGAAAATGTGACCGGCACTCTTCCGAACAATCAAGGCACCAAGATCAGGAAATCCGAATATCTTGTAGAAGCTGAGGACCGTGAAGTCTGGCGCGGCTGAGGCATCGCTCAAGTCCAATGGCGAGGTGGATACCAGAGATGCTGCATCCAGAAGCGAGTACGCATCGCCTGTAAGGCCATTTGTATTTCGAAGTTCCCCACACCAACGAGTAGGAAATCGTCGACCGTTCATGTTCGACTGCGCAGGAAACGCAAGCAGCTTAAGCCCCTCGTCCAGGCTATCATCCATGTCTGATATCCACGTATCGACTTCTTCATCGGACCTGAAGCATTTACTCCCCAGATCTGCCACTTCCCGTGCCCCGACCAAGCTAGTATGAGATTCAATGTGGTAACCATACCAGAATCCCTTTGGCGTGGCGTCCCGAAACGATTCAACAATTAGCTTGATCGCAGCGGTAGCATTTGCAACGAACACGAGATCGAACTCCTCGGGGTCAGCATTGAAGAATCGGAGTGCCCTCAGGCGAACATCGTCTATCCTCTGCGTGGACAGCTGAGATGACGAGGACATAGAATGGGGGTTCCCAAACAGGTTGGAGGTGAGGTCCTGCGAGAAGGACTCGATCAAAGACTTTGCATACAGAGTAGTTCCTGCATGATCCAGGTATGTAGTATCTGCAAACAGGTGATAGGAAGATAAGTATCTAGTTCGTTGACTCCCATGGCGGGCGTCTACAACACACCTTTGAGATGAGGATATTCGCGCTCTCGAATGAGATCGACATCTTCTGAATACCCTTTACAGTACTCTGTTCGCTGCGGTGTGTCCATTGTGACCGTCATTACAAACAATGGAGTCCATTAATCGAGGTCACTTTGGAAAGATATTCTTTTCGGCGGTCAATCCAACTGGTATCTGCTCAAGAACCGGGTGGCGATATGCAGGAATATGGTGGGTTGGTCACCCATGGGCGTATTGAGATGCACGTTGAACGGCAAATACTGCTGGCAGAAAAGAGACAAGTTAATATGCAGTAAGAAATGGGTAGTATAATCAAGATATTAGAGGTGGATACGGAGCTATTGAGATAAAGACCAGATCGGAGCTTACCGACGGCGAGCTCCTCTGAGAGTGAGAAGTTACCCATAGCAGGTCAAGGGTCTTACAGCTAACGGAGGAAAGGGGAAAAGGATTGGAATGAGCGGAGGTATGGCTTTTAAAGGTGATAACAGTTTGAGGTGCAGGTAATTAGTGAATAGTGTCTGATGTATCAAATAGCTCGCTGTGCTCGTGCCCAAATGCAGCTTCCCCCACTCTTGCCTCCTTATCGGAGGTGGGGGACGGTCGGAAGCCGCCGAGGGACGTGGAATTACAACCCTGATCGGCGGTGCTACGTTGGGCGCCGTCCTCTTTCAGTGGTAGATCTTGATGACACGACAATCCCCCTTATCCACACGCCCTAGGGATGCATACGGGTACGCCGTAGAAAAGTGATGTACAAGCTCGGTCCTTTAACAACCTGGTTAAGAAGAATCCAAACATGCTCATAAAATTGCAAGTATAACTTAAAAGTTAAAAGTAAAAAAGATCGTCAGCGACAGGACTCGAACCTGTGCGGGCGAACCCAATAGATGAGATAGATGGGAATCCATTCTAGTCTATCGCCTTAACCACTCGGCCACACTGACTTGCTTGTCTGTACGGCTCAATTCAGCGCTAGCTGATCCAGGGAGAAAGCATCTACATGGGCAAGGGGTAGTTAATGCGACACACGACTCATTGGAGAGCATGTGCACATTCCACCACAGGTACGGAATAGGCGTTTGGAGGGTCCCCTTTGATCCTTAGTACTATTGGCATGCGAAGTCCGAGATTAATATAATGCAATGAACCAACTCTTCGGTTTCAACAGCCGACTATATATACTTTAAAGCCTTAGGACTAGAGAGCTATGACAACTACCCGTTTCCGAGAGAAAGGATATAAGGACTGACCGTCTATTATAGCACGCCAGTAAGCAATTTCCGGAAGTATAGGAAAAGTCCACTGCTTCTCAACCACAAGAATGCCTCTCTCTCTGGAAAGGCACAGAGTCAACAAACGTCTAAATCGGATGTGTGGTTACTACAGCTGATGTGTTGGGTTGATGACGTAAGACCCGCAAAATTTACCCCTCATAAGCTGTTGTTGTGGTGAAATCCCCAGGAACGCTCTAGTGGTTTAGTAGTATGACACTACCCTCCCAAGCAGGTGCGAGCCTGTGTCCTCTGGGCAAGGTAGAGACTCGGGTGCAAATCCCGGCTGGAGCATCTTCCATTTTCTTTTTCTTTTTTTTGCTTCACCTTCTTCCTTCTTCCTTCATTCAATCCACACCACCAATCCCAACAACAAACAAGAGACAGACAACTAACTCTCTCTCTCCTTCGTCTCTCTCCTATCTATCTGTCATCATCATCGATCGAATCGTCCCATCCGCATCCATCGCAGTCTAATATAATCAAGAACCATGCAATGAAAACAAAGCCCATCTCAACATAGCTTTTGGATAGTGACTACTAAATGGTACGCGGTAAGCCCAGTATTGATTGACCAGACAGACAGGTCATCAACGTCTGTCTGTGTATGTTTGTAGATCACGGTATGTGTTTATTTACTCTGAATGAACTAGACTGATTGAATGGCTCTGTATACCGACCGACATAACCCAAGCTCAATGGACCCTCCCTCCTCGCATTGTCTTTTTAGATAGGTTGATTATCTTGTTGGTAGAGGAAGAGGTATAAAGGTAGTTAGAACAAGTAGATACATAGATAGATAACCAGAGATAACCAGAGAGATAGGTAGAGAAACAAGATAATCTCAAATCATAATATTCATCATTCATTGTACATGCAATCAATAATAACTAACTTAATAAAAGGTATCATAAAAGATTCTTAGATCCAGACTAAATAGAGCCATGATCCAATCAACCTGTGTCCGAGAGTAAACTTCGGTAGCCTAGGTAGTAGGCAAAATATAAACTATTACATACAAGACCAGATGGGGAAAATGGACCAAAAAAAGGGCAAAAGAAACAGAGGCATAAAACGCAGAAGTCTTCTTTCCTGTATGTTTCCGTAGCAGCGGCGTCATAAATTCGTGAGCGTGTCGAGGTCGTTCAGTCAGTCAGGCAGTGTACCATTTTGTCGCCGTAAATCGAATGTTCAGTCCAGATTTTGATCCCCGTTTTTCTCTTTCGCTCATCCTTCCTTTTCTGCTCTTTTTTTTTTGCGTTTCGTTGTGATGAGATTCCGTCGCTCGTTCTTCATTATCCTATATCCATGTCCGTGTTCATGTCCAGGTCAAACCCATATCCATATCCATATCCATATCGTACCCATCCCCATCATTCATGTCCATGGAGATCGTAAAACTTTATCAATTAAAAAAAGGAAAAGAGAGTATATCGTTCTTAAACGACATATTGAGGTCGTCGCGAACTCGAGCTATGACGACGATGGCCGCTACTGTGGCCGCGACGGCTGCTATGGCTGCGTCGGCGCACATGGGTCTCCTTGACGACGACATCGCTGCGGTTGTACATGAACAGAGCCCAGAAGGCGGTCCACGAGAAGAACACGACCTCCATGATGCCGAACGCGAACGAGGCCTTCAGCATCGCGCAATGCTTGTTCAAGTCGTACGAGAGCGGGTTATCGGTGCGCGTGCCCCAGGAACCGAACGGGCCCAGGGAGACCCAGACCGAGCCGCCATTCCAATGGCCGCAGTCGGCGTTAGCGATGAAGCGCAGTTGGTAGACGCCGGCGATGAAAGCGCCGAAGAAGAGGAGGTCGACGAAGGCGACGAAGATGGCGGAGCGTTTGGTCGTTGAGTGTCGGATCAGGGTGTCGATGCACCAGAAGACGGCGATGACGCTGACGATGAAGAGAACGAGGATGTAGGTGGGAGTGATGATGTTGGCCTTGAGAAATCCATCTACAAAGTAGGCCTAGATTGCGAGTTAGCGATGGTTGGAATCGACGGGGGGCGAGAAAATTATTGGAGTGACACATACCAGCATTCCAATGATGGGGATTAGGAAGACAATCTCCACCAGGCGATTGAAGATGAAGAAGAGACTGCCGATCATTTTGGCGGGTCCTGTCAAATCGATACCAGACTAGATAAACTCAGGAATGTCGGATGGGTGATGATAGGATCACGAATCACGGAACACAGAGGGATGCTGAAGGGCTACAACGTCATCACCAGCAGGAGAGGAAGGAATGAAGAAAGAAAGCAAAGCAAGGGAAGAGGATGGTCGGCGGATTGAGAGACCGAAGCCTGGAACTTTGTCACTGCTGATCCGATGCAGGCCAACTCAGAATGCTGCACGAGGAAGGGGTGGATCACAAAGTGAAAAAGGGGAGACAAAGCCACGCGTAGAGCTGCAGCTAGACCGAGGAATTTAAACAACGAGGGGAAGATGAGGGAAAAAAGAGTGTGACGATGGAGGAGGCTGGGATGCGCGGGGTGGCTGGGGATTTCATTAAGGCTGGTGGAACTTGGGCCGAACGTGGATCGCTGCACAACACTTTGGCCCTGACATCTCGTAGATTTGACCGTGCCAATCATAATCCCTTTCCAGGTTGCAGGTCGATAATTCATCCTTGCTGCTTAAAGGGCACTCCGTAAGTCCGTAGTCCATAGTCCAGACTTCTCATAGTTGATGTTGATTACCCGCGTGGGTCTCGGTCGGGAGGTCGGGAGAGTTCTAGAGCCACGGGTCGATGAAGTCAATTCTTTCCAAAACACAACAAACAATAAATAAACCCTTCTAGTCATACAAGAATCCCAAGAAAACAATATTTCCCGTGTCAGATCCACTCGTCTAGAAATTATCCACCGTCGCGGCCCAAATGTTGCAGTATGTCTCATCCAAATACATCATTAACGGTCTTCGCTTTCCCAATTCCAATATGATCGTCACAATCGTGGCCCTGGCAACTTGGCAAGACAAGCCAACAAAATTTGCCAGAGCGGTCTATGAAACAAAACATAAATGCCAAGGATCTCATCCCAACACCTACGGTATAAACCAAAAAAATCAACTAACAAACCCGAAAATTGTCTGCAATGCTTGTCGTCCCATCCTACACCGGAGGTACGTCGGTCAATTCGCGCCCCGGGCCAGTGCGCGAAGTCATCACGGCTGGCAGCGTACGAAATCCAACTTCGGGATTTGTCTGGCCGTGGTAGGCCGTTTCTTCGTAATATCGCGGCCCGCTCAATCCCGGATTCTGGGCCTGGGCGTAGCCATGTTGCATTTCGTAACCATCCGCAACGTCCTCGCTAGACGAGGACCAGTTCCCGTCGTCGTCATGCGGTCGACGCCCGTAGGGTTCCGTGGCGTAAGGATTACCGGTCGCAGAGGTGTACGTCTGGTTTCGCGAGAGTCGGTTTTCCGCCGGGGGGCCTCGAGTTTCGGGCAGGGGCGGTGGCGGTGGCGGCTCAAGTCTCTCCTCCTCGGGGTTTCGCAGCGCCGCAGTACTCTCGGTGACGCCGACATATCGCCCGCCGTCCGGAATCGCCGGTTCAGCTCCCCAGGAGCGAATTGGGAACGCTCGTCCCTTCTTCCAGGGCTGGTTGAGGGGCGGGAAGTATTGATGGTAGGAGATGTAGGCACAGACAACTCCCAGGAGCGACCCGGTAATCACATCGAACGGATGGTGTCGCGCGTCCATAATCCGAGATACGGCGATCAATGTGGCGGCGATACAGGGGATAATGACAATGAGGGCTTTCCAGACTTCTCCCCGGTTATCCATGAAATGCAGTTTTCCGGCCACCCAAAGCGACAAGTAGAATAGACCGGCAAACGAGGCTGGAAAGAGAAAAAATAAAGTTAGCAAGGGTACCAGTGCGCGATTAAATGGGTTGACTTCTTACAACTGCTATGGCCTAGAGAAATAAGTTAGCATATTCGATTCGCAAGCAGTGGAGAATAAAGAGAACGTACCTGACGGCCACGACCGAAAGCCATCCTTGATAATTGCCGGGTCGCCGGTACAGATCGACGAATTCGACAAGCCGTAAGTGACTCCATCAGCGCTGCCAGCTCGAGGTTGGCACCGATCAATGATATCTGGTCGGGGTTTCCCACACGCATTCTTCAAGGCCTGGGTGATCAAAAACGCTAGGCCCTGCGAAAGCAGCAAGCCCAGAAAGCCGCAGTTGAACTCCCACAACCGATCCTTCATCCGGTATGGACCCGAGAGTTTGCGTTTGCCGCTTGCGGGATCCTGTGGTTTGTGATGCGAAAACAGCCCGTCTATGAGGAGCGTGTAGACAGCGATTATGACCAAGGGCGTGACTCCCGAGATGAGAAGGGCCATCGGGATCGAAATTCGTTCATGTTCGGCAAAGGGGTACTGTAGCGAGATGTTTTGCAGCGAGAAATGTTGATGGTAGGGTTCGATGGAATCGAGTATATAGAAACCGGCAATGCAGGCACTGCAGGGCGGCGAGCGATTATTAGCAAACGGGGAATTGGATCGGTTTAGCTGATCGGACAACGCACACGAGGATCACATAGTCGAGGATATATCTGGATATGACAGGCCATGGTTAGTTTTAATTCAATTGATTCTATCGCAAGCACGATCTGAACACTCACGAGATAATAACTCGCGGTCGTAGACGCCGCTTGGAGAACGGCAGTTTCGAGGGAAGACGGTCCATTTGCTAGTGGTAACCCGTTTAGATTAATTGACTGGGGGAGCATTAGAATAGGATGATTTCCGATCGCCGATTGGGGGCGAACCTGGGAAGCAGCGTCGCAAGAGAATAAATGGCACCGAACTTCGAATAGCGGAATTCAGTCCAACCCAGGGTACTAGTTAGCCGTGAACCTGCGCGGCAAACAACGGGCGTCGCCTGTAACGGAGATTTAAGAGATAAAGGTCAAGGGGAGGCGAACGAGGATTAGGGGACAGAGTCATGAAACAGGAGAAAGAAAAGGGAGAAAGTCAAAGGAAGAGGGAAAAGGCGCATGCCCGCGGACAGCGGCAGCTTCAGGCAGCGGTTTGAATGGATTGTGGCTTGGACGGGCCCCTGTCACCAAAAGTAAAGTTACTCAACTGACTTCGCCCTCTGCTGATAAGCGCCCAGATCCCCCAGCGGGTCTCGGGGGGTCTTGGGCGGCTCTCCAAGAGGGTCTCGCCCTTGGGATTCGTCAGACTACGGGGTTGACCCTCTCTTTCAGGATATTTCAACGGGGCATCGACCATCATTTTACCTGCCACCAACAAACGAGCAAGCCTGCTAGTCGCTTAGGGATGCTCGAATTCGAATATGATTGATTGCCCCGAAGGATGCAGTTTGGAGCACATGACAGCCGATCTGCAATAGCGCTGCCCCATAAGGACGCCAAGCTGCATCCTTAGGCAGCAATCAACCGCGCACTTAGGTAATCAGATCCATGACATCGTCCAAGTTACTGTGGCAGGAAATATCCGCAAGATTATGTTTGAGACCCACTTGAATTTGTATAGTACACTAGCTATAGCTGCTTTTGGACGTGGAACATTAATCACGTCCACTCAAATATCAAATTAAGATCCGAAATAAATAAACCGATGATCTGATCCCATAGTCTGATCACCGTGGTCATCCGACACCAATTTCACTTGGAGAAGGGAGCAAAGAAAGGAATGACTTCATCTCAAATAATAATAAAAATCGTATGGTCAAAAAGTAGAAGCAAAAGAAAACAAACGGTTACCATTATGGGCCCATGACTCATGTTCGCGTGATGTCGGATGATCCTGTATTATGATCCTGTCCGCCGAATTTAGCAGACGGTGATGTACAGACCAAGAGGAGAGGGGTTGTAGTCCTCGAAGAAGTCCAGCTCGGTGCTGCCGGCGTTCTTCATCTCGTAGCTGACGGCCTCGCCGGCAGGGCAATCGAAGGTGGAAACGGTGTAGGAGTTGCCGGGCGAGATGGTGAATTGACCCAAGTCCTCCTTGACTCCAGGGGCGTTGCTGTAGGAGGTCGATTCGTCGGCAACCGACTCGAGGGAGGCGAAATCGACCTTGCCGTCTCCGCTGAAGCTGTAGGAAGAAGTCTCGAGGTCTTCCTTCTTGGGGAAGAGGAAGACGAGGCTGCAAGTCTTTCCGGAGTCCTCCGAGGGGATGTCGAAGTTGAAGATGGTGGAGACGGAGGACGAAACGGTGCCGTTGTACGAGGTACCGGCGGCGTTATCCGGGGAAGACGAGTCGACGGGGATGATCAAGTGAGGGTATTCATAGTCGCCGGAGAGATCAGTGGGGCAGCTGCCACCAGCGGACTGGGTACCAGAAGGTTGAGTGCCAGTCTCAGATGGCTGAGCACCAGTTCCCGAGGATTGAGCACCAGTTCCCGAGGGTTGAGCACCAGTTCCCGAGGGTTGAGCACCAGTTCCCGAGGGTTGAGCACCAGTTCCAGAGGGTTGAGATCCGGTTCCCGTGGGCTGGGCGCCGGTTCCGGATGGCTGAGAGCCAGTTGCGGTGGGCTGAGATTCTGTTGCGGTCTCGGTTTGCTGAGTGCTAGGAGACTGGGCTGGTTGAGTGTAGGAGGCGGTCTCAGATGGCTGAGCGCCAGTAGAAGTGCCAGGGACGCCGGAGGTGCCAGGAACACCCGGGGTACCGGAAACACCAGGGGTGCCGGGGACGCCAGGGACACCAGTAGTTCCAGGAACACCGGGAACGCCAGGAACACCAGGAGTACCGGAAACACCAGGAGTGCCGGGGACACCAGGGACACCAGTAGTTCCAGGAACACCGGGAACACCAGTAGTGCCGGGAACACCAGGAGTGCCGGGGACACCAGGGACACCAGTAGTTCCAGGAACACCGGGAACGCCAGGAACACCAGGAGTACCGGAAACACCAGGAGTGCCGGG